ATGAAAGCGAAGAAAATTATTTGCCGAAGACCGAACATGCTTCATTAAATTTATTCATCGCCGATGGGTCGTCATTGTACAATCGTGACGATGATCCAATTAAACAGAAACCGGTAATGGCTACTTTGTTAATTATACGTAATTACGGAAGAGCGTCAATTTACGAGCCAACCATTACTGTCGACGAGCATTTCAGAAGTAACACTTCCGATTCTCGATAACTGTAGACACGTTGCATTCCTGTAAATACGACTTCGAATCCTCTCTTTCACCCTAGCTGAGCTTCAAGGGTTACGAAACGCTCGCTTTTACCGGGCTCTTTCACGGCCGTAATTTACAGATTCAATAACGGCGCGGCGTTAGAAGCACGATTGCTCGCGAATGTTTCTAGAAAATGGCACGCGAAAATGTAATGTACATTACGTACAAGGTAGCTACGAACGAGTAATTTACATGTGGGGTAAGACGTTCCACGTTGTTGGATTAATTGCTGGCAAATGAGAACAATTTATCAACGAGAGTGTTCCGCGCGTTAGTTGCAGGGTATCATTAAAATCAAACAAATTTTTTATTTTTTTTCAAATAAATTTTCCAATTTTATAAGGCTATTAATAAATCTACGAAACTAACCACCATTTATCGATCCTTAGATCGAACAGTATTATCGGTCATGGTCGGACGATACGTATTTCCCTGGGGTGTCGCTTCCGGGTCGCGATAACTTCGCTTCTGGCCACGAGCCCGCGTACCTTCCATCGACGCGTCCAACTCGATTTTCACCGCTTAATCGCTCGTTCCTGTGGGGATTACAAGCTGCGGAGGACAGGGATGAGTGGTCCTTGCCGAAAACTCGGTCGAGAAGCTGCGGTGTCGATCGATTCGATACCTTGAGTGGATGAAACCCTTTTATCGCGATACAATCTTCAAACGATTCGGAACGCTTAGATTAGACGATCTGAAATGATGTCACGTTAGATTCTATCAAATTTTTCCAAGACACGTCTCTGGAAAGCTCGTTCGTCCCCTGTAATTCTCTTTTTCTAACTTCTCCGTTCGAAGACGAGCTAAAGAACCGATCTTTGGAAGCGCGCTAATAACGAGGGTCAGGTTCGCGCGAAAACTGACAGTCAGCGATTAAGGCCGACTTCTTCCTCTCGTCGAGACGATATTTTTCTCCACCGAAGCTTCCACGAGCTCTAGCTCGAGCGGATTTAATTCAAATTCAATGGAACGTCGCGCGGCATTTATAAATCGCACGCGTTGCAGCGGCGCGGCGCGCTCTTATTCTTCTCTCGAGATAAAAGGATCCTCGATTTCTTTTTTTTTTCTTCCTCTATTTCTTCTTCTTTTATCGAGAATCTTTTGGTTCGAGGAGTCGGTTGTCTGAAAGGTACGATAGCATCGAGGAATCACAGTTTACAATCGGCTGGTTGAGAAATTTGAATAATACGCAGAATAAGGGGCTTCATTATCGCCAGGATTTCTTTCGTCTTTGTTTTCCTTTTTCTCTTCATAGAGCGCATTGAATCGTTGGATATTCTGCGGGCACGTTCGATGGGAAAGTTCAATGAAGCATCTAAGAAATAGTTGTACATTTTATCATAAAAGAAGGAAGTTCGATGATATTCTTTCCATCGAATTTCTTCTGAAACGAGATTCTTCTTACAACGAACACAATGGAGGTAGCGGTCGGTTGCTCCCTTCTTTTTTCATCTCGGCGTTTCGAAACATACCCGTAAACGATTGTTTCAGCCTTCGAGCTTTTTAACCTAGATTCAGATAGAACAAGGCAGCAACCGTTTAAAACGTCAGCCAGCGAAGACTTGTCGGATAATTACGGAACGAACTTCTTAATCCCGTTAAAAACGGTACACGCTCGTTGGATAGGCTGGTAAAAGTTTCTTCTGGAAGAGAGAACGAGGAAAGAACGAGAATTTCCATTCCATTGGACAATTTCTACCACCATTTTCGAGCGTTCCTAACCGAGAGAAAAAGAGAGGAAATACGATCCTTGACACGCTTCCGTAGGCGGCAAATGAATTATACTCTGCTTCCAATTGTTTCGTTGTCTCCTGTATGCCATTTTTACACGACTTTATTTTTTAGATACATCTAAAGTAAAAATTTTAAATATTCATTGAATTTCACGTGTGTTAAATTCTTGTTAAGGGTATCAGTTTGGGTAATCTCTCGGAAGGATACATCTAACATCATGAAGCTTCAGACAGCGTAACACCGTTGTGTCGGTTCATTTACACCGATTTAGATTACCTGGTGTTAACGCGTGTTATCTCGAGATAACATCGGTTCAGAGACGCGTTAAATTGCACTGAAACGTGTACTCCGTTGAAAGCCTTCTGGTTTCTGTTCCTGAGTGACTTTACTCGCGAGTAAACACCATTTGCCATCGTGTTAATCCAGGTGTCGGTGTTTCGTAGATTTTTCTTTTTTCAATTCGCTCTTTCTAAATATTTTTCGCCCCGTATCATCCATTATGGCACTTTGAAGGTGCTCGAATGAAATTTCGCGATATTAGCCGGAAGGTAATTTATATTCGCGTCCAGTGAAGACGCATCCTCCAGGCAAAAACTCCATTAATTATTCGCATTCGTTTCGTATCCGAAACAGAGCAAAAGGAGAGAGAGAAAAAAAAATACACACGACGTCTCGCTTGCGATTAATTAAAAACTACTGCCTCGAGAAGTTAGCGAAACCCCGACGACCTGTCTGTTCCAGCAGATTCCACCAAATAGAAATGACTCCTCTTAAGCGTTCCGTTTCTCGCAATCAGCTGAAAGAGCAATTTTGTCGGTTAAACTCGTCCTGGATGACTCTACATCGTCGCATAGTGCTTCAAAAAGCATCTACTAAAAGTAGTTGAAGACTACAGGAAAGCCGGACCTTTTATAACACTTTGCTTTATAATCCAGAGTGACAACTTGTTTTTTCGGTGAAATTAGCAAAATACCAGTTCCACTTTGTGCTTTACGCCTGTGTGGCGGCATTTCCTTTGAGTAAACTAGCGAGAGAATCACCCTGTATATATTCGAACTGCATGCTCGGCGTCCGGGGAGACGAAACCCTCTCCCCTTCACCACTAAACGCCTACATGATATACCAAAGAAATATTTTCAATCCAATAGAATTGAAAGTTTGTACAATTGATTTTTCCTTCGTTCTTGAAAATTCCCTAAGGAAGTGGTTGGTTGCGTATCTTCGAAACGAGTTGGAAATCACGCATTTGGGTGCATTTTGAAGAATGTTCAAATTCTTCGATGCATCCCCCGAGGGACGATCTCGAATACGAATCGCGTCGCGCAAGTGGAACGACGTCGCTTGTTCATCTCTTTTCGTAACTTACTAAATTTGTCTATATTTTAAAATTTACATATAGGAATACAGCGTACAATGGTGTAATCAAAAATTAGCTCAGCTTCGCGAAGCAAGATACGAACACGGTAACAGGGATTACCACGTTCACAAAATGCACAGCTTGCCGAGCCACGTGCAGCGAGGAAAGCACACGGCTTTCTATCCCCAGGTTCTTTATCGAGTCGTCGGAATCTCAATATACCCTGGTGCAAGGATCCTCCGTGTCTCCGATTATTCGCTGTCCCAGCTCGGTAATGCGACTTTGAACGACAACCACACGGAAATCGAGCGTAGTCCCCGGTTGAACGGGAGACAAAAGGTACCCCCCGATGGCTGTTGCGATCGTTAATAACAGTTAGCTGTACTATCAAAACACACGGTCTCACAGGACAAACTTGGACAAACTTATCCGATGGGATTCTGTCGTTGCTACTCCCGCCGGTGACATCAACCCCGGGCCGAGAGTAATTTTTAACGCTCACTGTGAAAATAGGATTAGCAGAAATTAGGTAACAGAGGGTGGTTCGTAAACTGTGACCTTAGATGATTTAGAAATTTAGGTTACGTAGAGGTAAGGAAAAATGTAAACTTGGAAATTAGAAATTAAATAACGTAGGGTAACTTTGAAGCTTAATTGGGATTATTAGAAATTAAGAATAATCTTAGCTACGAATTTCAGAAATTTTTTAAATTATTTTAAAAAGCCAATCCTTGCGTTTCAAAATTATTATTTCTAATTTTAATTAAAATATTATTGGATACGTTTCACAGGTCCAAGTCGCGACTCATTCGCTTCCATCGGTTAATTACCATTAATAAAATTAGCAATCGACCTGTATATCTCGATTAAACGAGGCAATTATTCATTTTTCAAGTTTGAAGGATCATTCGAGTTGACGGGGTTGTTGAACCGTAAATGTCAAAGTTTAGGGTTTCGGTGGCTTTCGGAATTCAGTCGGCTTCACAAGGCGAATTATAAGCGTTTCAGTGTCGCGAAGCAGGCATCGGCTGCCTGTAATTACATCGACGTAACTTGCCTAATTGATGGTGAGTAATTAAAAGGCAGTCGGGGGCAAGTATTCAAAGTTTGCCTCGATTGACGTCGAGCCAAAGGAATATCAACGTTTCAAATTAAACCGACCGAACTGTGTCGGATCGTTTTACAGATATCGATCATTTCTTACGCAAAGATTCCTGCATTCGTACGGATTTAATTAAAACGCATTCTCTCCGACTACGTCGTGAAGAGCTCATTAATTTCAGATAGACCGTGCAACGATGAAATTTTATGATACAACCATTGCGCACACACCGCTGGAAGACCAACGATCATTGCTCAGGGTTTAATGTAATTGAAGAGAATGCAACGTTGATGCTGATGAAAATTTCATTAATTAACGCGCTGACCGGCACAGTAGAAGTATCTAATACGATTATTTAGGAATTATTAAAGCATTCACACTGCATAAGGGACACTATTATAATATTAATACCAACTATTTAATTTAGCTACTGTCGCCTTTGCCGGAAACTGAAATTCATGGTGCTAGTCACCGGTTGTGTCAGTCACGCGTTAGCTAAGCATCTCATCCCCGTAGGTTTGACTAAGGGTTTTGTTGAATTTCCAGGCGCGATCTTCACGGAGGATCAAAAGGACAGTCCGTCGGAGTTGGCGTTCAAATACGCCATCTATAAAATCAACAAGGACAAAACCCTGCTGGCGAACACGACCTTGGTCTACGATATACAATACGTGCCTAAGGACGATTCTTTCAGGACCTCTAAGAAAGGTGAGTCACCAAAATTCTTATCGAACAATAAAAAAAGATGAAACATCTAATATCAGTCTTTATGGTGAACACTCGCTCGTATTGTGCCAGTTTTCTTAGATTCTCGACCTTCGTCCCTCGCGCTACGAAACGTATTTAACGCCTCGAAACATCTCGAGTGAAAACATCTCGACACGGAAACGTTACGACGTCGCGTCGATAAGGCACGAATTTCGTATCTGATAAAAATGAGGCGTTACTCGAGTCCCGAACTCTTTCTATTTCGAAGCTTAATAAACGCCAGAAGCTCGGGGACCGAGATGCTTTCGAAAGAGTTTCGTCGATTTCTGTTCGCGACGCGAGTCTGATTTTCATCTTCGATACGGTGAAATGATAAAAGTTACGTTCCTCGAACGTTTCATGACCGCCTACCAGAGTGGCTCGTAACTTTTTTACTCGTGCCGAGAAAATAATAGTAGCTTTGCTTCCTTCGACAACAATCATCTGCTATCGTCTCTTTTTCGTATGATTATATTTTTCACTCAGAGTAATAGGCAAAATATTTTATAGGTTTCTACTTTTTTTCTCTATCATACGATAGCCACTTCGATATCCTCGCAAAAAGTGCGATATACGGGAGATCGCACATATTGGCGAGGTGAACAAGAAACGACTAGTCATAAGGAGAAATATATGCAAACTAATTCCACGGGTGTATCGAGTCGCCGTGAAACCATAACAATGTTTCTTGCTAGTCGATCGTACGTAGCCTGGCGAACGTAAATTGCGAGCCGTAAATCCGACGGGGCGTTGATAAATTCGTAACAAAGTTCTATTCCGTCGTGGATGCTGACTGGATTATTGGAACTCAAAGGCACTTCATTTCCTGTGTCGAGTACTTTTCACGGTGTTCATTTAACGTACACCATTGTTGCATATGCTCGGATACAGTGATGTTGGTAAAGGGAAATACCTTTTGAAAATTGAAAATTCATCGTAAATTGCAATATTTACAGTGGGTGATCAAATTATTAGAGTAGAGTCGCGAAAGTAAGGATATAGTGGAGAAAAGAGAAGGTTTCAATCGCATGAATTGACGATTTTATATAAAAATGATTAATTCTTAAATTAAATTTTATTATTTTCTTATGATATATTGATGCTTGTAAAATTATGATACACAGTTAAAAATAGTGAAAGTTCTCCGGACCTCAACCCCATCGAAAATTGATGGGAACGTTTATTATTATTAATAAATGTCAATTGATTGAACGTTTGACAAATGTATGGGCCAGAAATAAAGCAATCAAAATGAATTGCTTAAAATGCATCGAAAGTAACATACATGTATAAATATAATCTTTTAAATGTATTTGTTTATTTTTATAAGTATTTTTTTCTATATTATTCAATGTAAAAGCCTTAAAATTGTGGCTCTATTTCTACATAAACACGAAAAGCCTACTATTCATATCGTGGCTCTAATAATTTGAACACCCACTGTAAATAAAATTTACAAACAAGTAACTATAAAATTCGTGAAAATATATTTGAAGATGTGCTCGATCGAGCGAGTTCATAGACCCGTAGTTACTCTTTAACAACCTTCACGAACTTCATTGTACATCGACGATCCTCTTCGCGTAGTAAATACGCTCGGGACGAGGTTTCGTAGCCGACAAGCCGCATCCGCGTCAGCTTCCGCGTTTAAAGATATTCCAGGCTCGTCTGAAAAGATTTTCCATTTCCAAAGCGTTCCCCGTCTATCTGTCTTTTTCTCTCGGTAAGAATCTCAGCCTCGGGCTTCCTCCTTTCCGTTTTTACCTTCCTTCTCTTTTCTCCACTCTATCCTTACTTTCGCGACTCTTCTCTCGTGATAAATCTTCGACGCGAAGGGACCGTCGGCCCTTTTTTTCCTCCTCTTTCTTTCCTTCTTTCTTTCTTTCTTTCTGTAGCGCAACGCGAGCTTAATGTCGCGTACAGGTCGGACTCACCCCGCTCGCGAAAGCTAATGTTCCGTCGTAGATTCGGGAAGAATAATCTCCCCCGTGTCGAGGAAGTTTCGAACAAGAATATTTGTTGCTCCTCTGCCGGACCGGTCGAGAATTATAATTAAAATCGAATTTAACTACACTAGATTATCTTAAAACTTGGTTTGAAATTCCCAAAGTAATAGTGCATCCTAAATAATTGGCAAGAAAGATAAAGTAAATACTGTTTCTGTAGTTTTAATATCGTAAATGAGAAATGTCATAATGGTTATATAATATCATCATTAAGAAGGAAATTTGTTTTACTTGTAAACTTTACAGTAATAGGTTCATAATGAAACATTTCTTTGATGCTTTTGTTAATGTCGATAGAATTCCAACGATTACGTTTGAAGAGAACGTCTTACGGCCGGGCTGTCGTTCAGGGAAGCGTAAGACACACTAAACCGGGAAAGAGAAACGAATCCTCAAAATTCATTGAATAACTTTCAGAAGTCCCTTTGATCCCCCCAGGCGGAACATTTTAATGGAAGCTTTCCTTTATTACCGGCAAACTTTTCTCCCTTTCGACACTGTAACTGCTTCTTTGTCAGCTGGACGGCCATTGTACCCTCTGGTTCTGTCGAAGATCTTGCAATCCTTTTTTTAAAATCGATAAAATAATGTCAATCATGTTTTTCGGAGTGTGTTTTCAGAATAACACCTAGCAATATTTAGAATAAAAGTGTAATAAATTCGAGTCTTCAGTTGTGAAAAATTTCTGACGAATTTAACGAGAAAGGAAAAGCAACCATAGATGACATAACACGAGGTAAATGAAACTGGTGTCGAAGCAGTAATAGGAAATTTTTTCTTATATCACAACGAAAATGAAAAAGTAGAGAGATATCCGACTGTCGAGCGAACCGACGAGTACCAGTTGTGTTTTTAATTTACTCCTTCTCGTCGGACACGTTTCTTTTTCAACCTGGCCCGCGAAACTCGAACAAAACCTCGATATCTTTGTTTCTGTTTCCATAGAACGGTAAACGTAACGTGAGTTTCAGAGAAAATTCAGGTCAACCGGAACTGTAAGATTGCCAGCGTTTTCCTTCCCGCGAATGAGCTGGACAAAGTTCCAACGGGTCGTCATTAAACCAGCGTTCGTCGTTCGTGTTTTTCCTGCACGTTACTCGTTTACGGTGCTCCTTTATTCGCTACAAAATTATTCAAACATAAATTGTGTTAATTTCTCGTTTACTCTCTTGTGAATGTCAACCCTTTATACAAGAATTCATAAAGTACTGTAATATCAAAAATACAAAGAGAACAATACTTTAACTCACTTTTAATTCAATTTAGCATTTCACATTATTTTCATTTTTTAAATTTGACACTGAAATTATTAAATGATACATGTAACTTTAGATTAATATTTTAGTATTATTCAAGGGTTGATGGGTATTTCAAGTGACGTGTAGCCTCTGAATAAAGGTCCTGGGTAAACTGTGATACGAATGTTAAATCATTAAATGAAAATTTGACAGAAATTATATCAATAATTATTAACAATCGTTGCATCGATGAATGATGATAAATAATTTGCGTCACAATTGTTTCTAACGAACAATTGGGAATAATTTTCCTGGAAGCTCTCTTATCAAAGCAAATAATATGGTTATGCACTTCATTCATTAATGCCTGATGTTTGTATCATCGGTACTTGAATAATACCGCTAAAATTATACCAAATATTGTTATTACCGCTGTTATTACAATTGTTATTGTTGTTACTTTGGCTTTATATTAATACATTCTACAAATGTATACGGGCAAAGGCAGAGGAGCGTAGCAAAATAAGCGAACGCGATCACGAGTTAAATTAGTTTCAGGATTAAAAGTAGTTTTAATGTAAACGCGAAATGAAAGTGGAGGAGGACTTTTTAAAAATAATAACGGAGAAATCATGTTCGTAAAAGCAACAAGCTGTGAAATAAAAAATTTGCATATAATATTCATTTATCATGCTTAAGTACATATTACTCGAAAATGAAGCTTATTTTAGCTTATGATATTGCAAGGGTTAAACCCAAAGTCTTTAAGAGATAAATAAAAAGTAATTAATTCGGCAAACTTCTCTTGGCTATCTTACCAGGATCGCTGTAATGGAAAAGATTAAGTTAGCTAGGTAAAATTAATCAGAAACTAGTTAAGCTTCTCGGTATAAATCTCGAGTCACTTCAACGTCTTCGGTATCCTCTGGAGACAGCTTGAAAAGCGTCAGTGTCGTCTGGGAACACTGAAAACGTCAGAGGATGTTCATGAGATACCGTCGGTTCGTTAACGAAAACAGCTGTATTCTTAACGAACCAACAGGCTTATTTATCCAAGAGGAGGAAAACGTTCGACTTAATCAAAAAGACACCGACGAAACGTCTCTGCGTCGTCGCTGCGATGGAACTGCCAGAAGGTTCGTTCGACGGGGTTCGTTTTCATGAAACGAAACGAAATTTTTCTTCCGCCTTCGGCGACGAAGAGAAGAACGACACTAAATAAAATTACGATCCTTCGATGGAGCCGATAGAATTCAGAGCTGGAAGACTTTTCTTGCGATCGGCTTTTTTATATCTTGTTCAGAAACCAAGGAGGATTTCATAGAATGGCCATTTTTATTCTCGAGTAGATAGAAAAAATTTAATGAACATTAATTATCCAAAATCACATATTTATTCCGTGAGAAGAAAAATAAAGATTGTTTTTCTTTTTTTAATTAACGTTTAAAGAGATTCATTTTTAATTGAATTTTACGTGAAACGGTGAGGGGTTCGAAGCGATCAATCTGGGGTTAAGTGAAAGCTGCAACGTAAACGGAGAAACGATGAGTCAGACGATCGACATAGTACTCGAACGGGTCAAATCAGGGAGCAAAGAAATGTCTCGTGAATAATTCAACGGGCACGGACAAAGCAGAATACTTAGACACGACGAAATCCCAGGCTAGAAATCGAACGCATCCATTCTCCTCGCTGAGCTACCCTTTACACGCGTGCCAAGAATCATTTTCTAAAGAAAAACCTCTATTCCTAGTATACCGTGACTGAAAGGATAATGGATCAGGAAGCCATCAACGTATCAATTTTCTGTCTATTTTCAACGATATTCGTTCATAGACAACCACCATCTCGTAAATCATATACTGTCATTGATGTTCTATGCAATTTACAAACGTTAGATCATAACACCTTGATTCCAATCAAAATTTCTAACAAAATAATTGTAAAATCAATTTCTGTAATACTATTTGTAACACTAAGCCAAAGGATTAAATTAAAAAATTCTTATCACTTTGTTTACCAAATTGGAAATTATTAAGAATATTTGAAAATTCTTGAAAATTTCCTTTCATCATAGATATCCATTTGACAGATATAGATTCTAAAACGATCTTTCCTGTTGCAGCTTGCAAGCAGCTGTCCAGATCGGTCCAAGGGATCTTCGGCCCGTCTGATCCTCTTCTGGGCGCTCACATACAAAGTATATGCGAAGCTCTGGACGTGCCGCACTTGGAAGCCAGGGTCGACTTCGAGCCGACGTTCAAGGAGTTCAGTATAAACCTCTATCCCTCGCAGGACCACTTGAACAAGGCTTTCAAGGATCTGATGTCCTTTTTAAACTGGACCAGAGTGGCAATTATCTACGAGGAGGATTACGGTGAGTATCATAAATCTACCGAAGAACAGGAATATCCGAGGACCGTTTTCCTTAGAGAATTTACCTAACCATCCTCTCTACTATGCATATAATCAAATAAAATTTATAATCTTTGTACGCTGTGCAATTTATACTGCTCGACTGGGCGGTCGTATAAAATAAAAAATAGCGAATGACAGAAAGAACGGTGTCGGTGTCGAAACAACGAAGCAAACATCGGAGGCGCAACTAGATTTTCAAACGTACGAGTAGGGCTCTCCAAGGAATCACGGGAACAACATTGCTCGCTGATGGCATGCCGTGTCATACAGGCTAGTCATTACGCTGCCTCTCTCTTTTTTTTTTTTTTTTTTTTTTTTTTGTCAACCACGGTGATGCACCCCTATGCAAATAGGACGTCGGATTCAGCCGGCGGAAGTTGATGTCTGCGCGACGCTGAAATGTCCGCTTGTCATTCGCACCCGCACGTAACGGAACTCTGTCGCGTAAAATCGTACAAGATTTGTCACCATGGGCCAGTGATTTTTTTCTACCTCGAAGATTTTAGCGAACGATACCTTTGATATTTCAACCCTTTCCGTTAATTTATTACTCAGAGTATCGACAAGTTGTTATAATTGCAAAACCTCCAAAATTAACGTTAAATCTTACAAAGCTCCTAGGAAGTTTGCGATCATCAATCTTCCACGACGATAATTAATTTCCACTGGCATGAAGTCTTAATGTTTATCTCCTGGGGTTTAAACTCTCTCGCTCAGTTTTCTCACTTTAAGTGTACCGAAGCAAGCGATATACGTACGTAATTCGTCTGTCACATTGCAGCCAACCACTAATTGAAATTCTGTAGTCGAACCGTGTCGCAAGCTTGCAATTCCATTAGAGTTCCCTGGGCTTAGTTAAGCAAGAAGCGGAGGAAATTTGAAGGAAAAATTTTTGCAAAACCAGTCAGCACAAAAGGGTATTGTACGTTCGATTCGATCGAACACGCTCTTGGCAAATCGAACAGAGGATTTGAAATATCTATCTAACACGTTTAATCCAGTGGTACCGAATTGGAAAATGGAAAAGTATTAAGCCCTTTCATTTTTTTCCTATGAAAAACAACATGGGTTTTTAGGAATTACTCGACTGCCGGGGTAAGGTATGATCATTATCTGAAACGACCTTTCTTGATTGGACGGCGTAATCATTTTCTCTATAAACGAAGAAGAGACCCCAGGAAGACTGCTGCTTTTTACGTCACCTTCAAGGCTACGACGGCTATAAATTCCTTTAGCAGCTTACAGTATCTTCTTGCAACAGAACAACGGTATCGTAGTTTGGGAGAAATTTATTCTGCACACGTTAGGTCGTCCAAATATGAATCGATCTAATTAAAATTGCATCAACTACAAATTGGATCTGAAATAATTTTGCAAAGTTTCTTTCAAAATTTCACTTAATACAATTGCATAATTCTACATCTACTCGAGGAATAGAAAATCGTTTTGAAAAATTAATTTTGTTAAAAGGTTGAAGGAACTCGTAGCAAAAAATCTCCAAGGAAGATAAAGGAGATGGGGTATTCTATTTCGATTCTTGTTGCACCGCGTGCAATTTCTGTATTGTGGAAAACTATCATAAATATCCTGCCAGAAGAATCGTCCAACCCCTGGCTCCACGCACAGTTGTACGTTTAAAGGAGACTTTAACCCCATACGTTAACCCTTGTTACGTCCCTCTCCTTTTTATCCAGCCCGTTGTTGCCTCAGACGTATTCACGAGCACAAAGAGGAAATCGATGGGCGAGTGCGTTCAGCGCAAAGCAGCGCGCGATAATTGGAAACCGCGTCTAAGAAGCGGCTTGTTATCTTTCAATTTCGCATTTTCAATGGGAAAAGCTGCTCCTTGAAATTATTCCACCGGCTGATTCATTATTTAAAGCGTTGATTGCCACCATGGCAGGGGTTATCAGCGAACCGAATAGCGAATTTAATATAATCGTGTAATTAAGAAAAAGGAAATGAAGGTGGTAAAATTGTTCTATCTTGCATAGAAATTAAACTGTTCTTATGGAAATTTTTCAGCTTGATATTCTTGAAAATTTTGCGAATTTGGTATCTTGAAAAATTAATATAATGTTAATACTCCTTAGAATTATCTTGGAAGATACGAAATCATGTAAAATACGATCTCTCCAAGGTACGCCGTTGGAAAGGAGAAAAATTCAAATTTTCCACGATTCTTTTCACTATTCCTGCCATAAATTCGATGCCGGTCTTCAGAGTTCGTTGCGTCGTGATTTTATGCGACAGAAAGGTCGGTGACCATTTCCCAAAGCGCTTTACGAACAGGTCAGTGGATTCGTGAATTCGAATGGGTGACGTGAACCTGTCGAAAATTTTCGACGAACGTCCGTGATCGCGCGATTGAAAATGAAAAGCGTCACAGAGGTTGTCGTCGATCGACGTTGCCTAGCGAGAAAATGAGAATTATTTTCAGTATTGAAAAATTTCCTCTTTTCTTCCTGTTTTGAGACGTCGTGACAAGAACAAATAGTGAAACTTGTTACAATTTATAAAAAAAATTCAATTTTCTTGTTCGCAGGATTATTTAAGCTGCAGGATCTCGTTAAATCGCCACCTTCCACGAGGACGGAGATGTACATACGCCAGGCAGGACCTGGATCCTACAGGCAAGTCCTTCGGGAAGTCAGACACAAGGAGATTTACAAACTGATCGTCGACACGGATCCCGCGCACATGCAGCAATTTTTTCGAGCGGTGAGTCAGAATCAATTAAAGAAATTTTATAATAAATTACCAGAACTGAGAGTAATCAGGTAGCACACGAAATAATTGAAGTACTTCGACACGGTTGCACCTAAAAACTGAAATCACAAATCAAGTCATAAGTAAGCAACACCCTGTCGAATAAATTCATCTTGTTACTTGTACTGTTATTCAAGTGTTCTGGGCTCTCCTTTTGGTGTTATTCATTCCTTGGCCGTAATTTTCACGGGAAATAATAAGATAACAGAGACTGGGAAGGATTTCGAGCATGAAGAGAAAGGCAATTTGCTCGGAGTGTTGTTGCAATTAAATTTTTCGATAGCCTCGAATTCTTGCTCGCTTTCCACTGTTTGCCTTTTTCACTTGGATTTTCCTAAGCTGATCACCCGCAGTTTTATTGAATAATTCTCTCGGGAGTAGATCAGAAATGTTATTCGTTCATAGTTGTTACAAACCATGTAATCAATTGAAAAATAAAAATTGTTTAAAATAACGAGGAAAAAAGCTGATGCAGTTTTCGAATGTTGCAACGCATGCTTCTCAGCTCTTTTTTTATCGATTTGCAATAAAAATTTGTTAACCAAAACGACGACGCGATGGCAGTCAACGATAGAATGCTGTTGACACTTTAATTGCCACAGTGAAAACTGCTATACGTGGTATGGCGTTGTTCAATAAAAGTTTTTAAAGATACGTATGGTCATTTAATTGTTTTATTCGATTTCGTGATCAATACTGTACGTTGCAATTCACAATCAACCATCTTATATTAAGAATATCAATGAAACTTTTATACAATTATTTTCAGTATTCTTTAAGCTTTAAATTGATAGATCACAAATATTATTTTGTAATAATTTTATGTCATGAAATTTTGTCAGAATTTCAATGTCTCAAAATGAACCATTTCAATGATAGTCACAGTACTTTTACTTTTTAAACTAAAATCATTCCTGAATATTTTTATAAAATTTTAAAAAAAGTCTGTTGTTTCGAAATCAATCGATCATCGAAAGTCATCGCAAAAGGTTCAATCGGTCGTCGCGTTCGACGCAGAGAAGCCGGTGTTTTCCACAATTATCGGCCCTTTTATCCGTTAGAAAAATATGCATAATCCGAGGGAACCGGCGTACCGGAAATTGCACGGTACCGTGAACCGTTTCCCGTCGAGAACGATCGTCGATTCCACGTTTTTGGAGTTTCGTCGACACACAGGACAAAAATGCTCGCCGCCGTTTATTCCGGGGAAATCGGCGCACACTGCAATTGCCTTTTACGACGAAACGCGCGTATAAAAGGATTATAGCGTGCAATTCGACGCGGACAGCCAACCATGAAAAACAAAAAGATATTTCTGGAAATAAATAGGAATTATGAGAAAAAGCTTCTTGCCAATCCAAATCATTTTCCTTCGTCATTTATATTCAATATTAATTGATATAAAAAATTATCAAAGTCGAGTACAAGTGAGGATTAAATCAACCCTTGAATATCGTAATTTTTCCTGAAATTAATTCATTTTCCAACGTGGAAATTCATTTTCCTATCGGCAGGATATTAAATCCACAGGATTATTCATTTAAAACGAGATTCTCGTGTGATGTATAGAAAAAGGACCTCTTCGGTATGAATCTCTTATGCGAGAAAAAAAACTAAGAATAACTTCATATCCGGTTTCACGGGTCACTGTCGATTCATTTCGAAGGGAGCCCGATGAAATTTGTTCAATTTTAATTGCACCGTCTTTATTAGGGAAAGCCGATGGATACGGGGACGTGATGGTTCCATGGTTCAAATTCCATCCGGGTTCCTCGTTGGATCCGTCGAGAAGCAATCTTGGTTGAGACGTGGTCGAAGGAAACCCGTTATTTGCATGCCCGGTCCATTGGGAATTCTTGCAGATATTCCTTGTTGCTTGAGTAATCAAAAAACGTCCTGGCTCTCTTGCAATTCTCTCCCTCTTTGTGCGTTTCGCTTATCGTCTCGTCTTCCTTCTTGGCAAGTAATTTTCTGCCCTCTTCTTAAGGAAAATCTCTGCGCTCCTTCCTTTATCCGGCTTCCTTCTGATTGTAAATTATGACCCGAAGGACGAACACGTGTGGAAGGTACAAGAAGATAAAATGTATTATCCTTTTTCGATATATTACAATATTTGCATAGATCCTAGTTTTAATTTATTAATACATGTTTTTATCGCGGAGCGTTATGGTACCGGAACACACGTTTCAATATACGAATAGTGGATTCTAGTACTGGAGAGGATAAGGTATTACAGGAGAAAATCTTTTGGAGAACCACTTTAACCGATTGAGACCGTCGATCGTTCGAAAGATCCTTCCCTAAACGCAATACCTAAAATGGCTGTTGTACAAACACAGTTTTATCCGCGCTATTCTAGACGAATCGGAGATAAGACACTGAAACAATAAACAAACGGATGATTCAAATTTATGGACGCATATATAATTTAATAAATATTCCTCGTTTCAAGGAGAAAAAGATGAATAAGGTTTATTAGGCGCTGCTTAACTTGAAATACATATAATTGAAATTCAAGCCAGTTTCCATTTTCTCTGCCTTTAATTCACATTTCACGCAGCGAAGTGTTAACATCAATAGAATTCTCTCTGCCAAAATTCCTCTTTGTGCACCGAATTTCTACTCCATCTCTGTGATCTCCATCGTCGAACGTAAAAGAGCAAAATAGTAAATTAAAAAGGTGCCAGTATATACGACTAATTTGTTCTTTCTTTATCTATTGCAGATACTACAGCTGCAGATGAACGATTACAGATATCACTACATGTTCACCACGTTCGTAAGTATTTATTCAGAGTCTGGTGTCCTGTTTTCCTGAAAATTACAACTCCTCTTTGCAATTTTTTTGATGAGACTCGTTTGAACTCGTTCCTGAAGCAGAAGCTCTGCTAATCCTGTGTATCATTTATAGTTTTAATTTTATTGTTTAAATTGTTGTTTCTTTTTCTTTTTAATATATCAAAATCTTTCGTCGTGTCGAATTTTTTTCATTTCGTTTGTTCAGCTAGATTTGAGGTATGAATTATAATTTGTGAACGAATTTTATGTATATCTTTTTGTAAGAGATCTGGGAACATCAATCTGTTATTGGGGATTTAATTTGCAGCTGTCGAATCAGCTGAACGAAATAAAAATTTATTTATTTCGCATTTGACGCTCGAAATCGTAGCAAATCCATTAGGTTTTCGATTTTCAACGAGCACTCTATTATTTGAATTTGAATCGTATGGTCGCTGCAGGTGACTCGATGCATCTGGTTCTGAAACACGATTTACAGAAATGTTCGAAATATCAAAGCCCTGAATATTTATCGAAATATTGTACGTGTTAGAAAAATGATTTATGTTGTAAAAGAAAATTTTCCTAATACCTTAATTTTATTTATTCACTTGTAAATGCAAAGCCTTAATTAATAATTCTATATTAATTCATGTAATACAATTATACGAGCAATAATTTTATAAAAGATGCCAACGAAAACTATATAGTCTGGAATTAAAACAAACATCGACGGTGTTGTTACGCCGGACCGCAACGTTTATTCAGACAGATGATCGGAAATTCGCGACACACGATAGCCCAGTAAATTGTGCGATCGTGTTCCCTGATTTGAACGCATCGTTCACGAATTGACGCGAATTAACCGGATGGCATTTGTCTATCAACGACCGCCTCCAGTGAATTTCACCGTGAAACTCGGGATGTTCTCGGATAATCCCCCGTCGATAGTTGCCGGTTGACAGTGGATCAAGGCGATGATTTAACGTGTAATATTAATTAACAACCATTCAGAACAACGTATCGTACTTTGCTTTCGACGCGAAACAATTAGTGATCAGTTAATTAATAGCCGACAAAGACAGTGGCTCTTTGCCCCGTAGTGCTTTCGAAGTCGTGAAAATCAACGGTCGGTATATAATTTCGAATTAACGCGCTCGTAACAATGAGAACGACGAACGGTCCTGACGTTTATTAGCGAGTAAATATCGAGAAAAATCGAGAACTGAACAAATGGGTGATCAATTGATTTCTCGTCTCGATCTGCTCGATCACCGATTAATACCGCGGCTGGTTCCGAATTGCGGATCGTCGTACCCTTCGGCATTGATTGAAACGAGGGAGTTTCTGTTTTAGGAAAAAACATTTAAACTCAATTACCGTTGCGCATCCAGATTCGTTTACCCGATTTTATGGTATAACACAGGGCTTACTGAATGGAAACGGTCGTAGATTCTCCACGCTGGAGTAATATATTTGAAATGAAATTTTGAAGCGAGTTGAATCGTTATTCGAGAGTAAAGTTGTTCGTTTATGCAGTATAGTGTGCTCAGTTAAATTTACTCTGCTCTCAATCCTCCGTTTCAATGTACGTTTCAATTTACGGTGGTCAAGATGGTATTTTTATGAGAAACTAGCCTCGCTACATCGAGTCAGAAATTTTTCCTTTGTTTCAATGTCAGCGGATGAAAATCCAATTTTCTTTCTTTCTCAATAATAGGATTATTATTACAAATTACAAATTTTATTTTACCATCAAAGTTACTTTCACGTCTCTCGAAAAACGGGACCACGCGATGTTTACATCGTAAATATACCTAGTGTAGGTGTTCGTTGAAACTCCATTGGTCGATCTCCACCCACGTTACATAAACATAACCGTGAGTCCCGGAATAAATCACTGAAACGCGGTCTGGAGCGGAAAAGGGGACCTGAAAATCGCGTCAAGACGGATGGGGTTGGTTTCGAGGACACGGAAGTTCTTTCTGACCGGAAACTAGCTTTATCTCTCGACTTCACGCGCGAAAAGGGTCGTCGACCTTTCTGGTGCTCGCGTATTTTCAAATTTCGACAGCGGTGAAATTAAGATTTAATACATGGATCACATATCAAATGGAAAAATCAAACTTTCTCGTGTCGAGTTTCGTCTTTTGATATTTTAAAGGGTTGAAAATGTGTTGGCAGGACATCGAAACGTTCGATTTGGAGGATTTCAAGTATAACAGCGTGAACATGACTGCGTTTCGTCTGGTGGACCTCGAGGAACCAAAGGTGGCGGAAGTTCTCCGACAGATGGAACGCTTCCAGGTCGGCTTCCAGCCGATTGGCCACGCGATCCTCAACAAAACCGGAGTTATCCAGGTTGGTGGAAAGTTCATGTAACTGTGGGGTATGCCCGGTTACGGAAGTCGCTGTTATCGCGGATCCCCCTGAAACTCGTTGGTCGTTGCTTGTTGCAACGGAAAACGATTTTCTCTGTTTCCATCAACGATCGAGCGAACTTTCCTCGAGAAGAACCCTATACTCGACATTCTTTCTTATCGTTTCTAAGTGAAATCTTTTCGCGAATTTTAAACGTTACACGTGACGTCCTTACAAAACAGGATACAAAAAATTCAGCCAGAACTAGAGTACGAGGATCGTTGAGAGGAATTTGTTTATTTATTTTATAATGAGTATGAAATTAAATCCTCTCGTTAAATATGTACATTCTTCTCCATTTATATTCCAGACAGCTGCATTAATCCGTTTAATGCGAGAAATAATCGCATTTATTATAACATTGGTAATTAACAAAACTGTAATTTATAAGCGATTTAATGAATCGCAGTTTGCTATAGAATCAAGCCATTAAATTTTCAAATAGTCTTTTTATAATAATAAAATCAGAACTCAGGAGTATCATTTATAAACCAGAAAAAAATTATTTTCTTTGTAAATTACAGTTAAAATTATCAGAAAATTTATAAAATAAAGGAACTCAAAAAATAACACAAATCATTTCTAAAATATCAGATTTCAAAGAATCGTACCTCAGAGAAAAAGCTAAACATTGCAAATATCCATCCGAGGTGTCGATTCTATGTTATTTTTTTATTTTTTATGTTCAATTTATTTAGATTTAATTGATATGCAATTGTGAATATATTACTTTTTAATAAAGAGTATGATATTATAAGGCCTAAAACGAAGCATAGCGTGAAAATAATATGAACGAGAGAAAACATTGTCACCATCCTACGTCTAGTCAGTGCTTTGTCAGCATTTCAGTAATTAAGCCAGTTTTAGATGCGACGGAAGCTGCAGAGCAATTAAGACAGCTTGATCGAGCGCACTCGAAGCACGGCCCAATTTCTTTTCAAGGGCCCCTGACAACCATGAACGCTTGATTCCTTCATCAATGAACGATGATTATTTTTTTCGATGCATACATTGTTCAGTTTATTGTTTTCAAATTGTTTTATTAACACTTTTTATCATTTTCAAAATTCATTAACCGTATCTCTCTAACAAGAATTTAAGCTATCCAATAATATTAATAATTTATCGACGAGTTCCTTTAGTTTTCCCTGAATTATTCGATTATTCCTGAATTTATGGCGTCGGTCACTGGTATCCGACGTGGTATACGAACGATGGAAAATCTCGTCGTGAAGCAAAAGCTTTAGATCAAAATCTGATTACACAACACGGACATGCACATGTACACACAAATTAATCACAGGTAGCTAGATTAATTACGTGTATCGACATTGTCGCTAACCGTGCTTGATCGACAGGAGGTCAAACGCTTTCTCACCCAAGGGGAAACGTATGTTTCAGGCAGAACCAGCTTTGGTGTACGACAGCGTGCAGGTTTTCGCGCACGGTTTGGCGGCATTGGACCGCAGCCATGAGCTGAGGCTCGCTAATTTATCGTGCGAGAAAGAGAAACCCTGGGACGACGGTCTTTCTCTCTACAACTACATTAACGCCGTACGTACGTTCTATAATTTTTCATTACCGAGACATCCCGCTTGTAAGGAAAGTCTCGATAGTCGAGGCGAAAGCAATTCGACGAAGAAATCGAGCTAGAAACTTTATTACCCCGATACAAACCGCGAATAAAAGTAGAAAAAGGAAAGTTAAAAAAGAGAGTGTTAGAAGCGTCGGAGAAGAATTTCAATTTTATCGAAACAGTTTCCTCGGGAATAAGTTTATTCGGATAAACTTATGAAGACTGATATGCGAGAAGTGGCGAGTTATCGTGTGGAAAAAAGCGCATCATTAAAAAGAGAAAAAAAAAACCGAAGAAAACTTTCGAACGTTTTAGCGAGTAATTAAAAGAAAATATCATCACTCTTTCAATATCTGCTTTCCTCTACTATTTGCCTTTCGCGGAATACACGATCGTTTCAATTAACAAATTCAATTAACGAACTGAGAAACACTTTTCGTGCAATTCAACGATAAAGCATCTCCTGATTTTCCCTTTCCATCAGTCTTTTACGAAATAAGAATATTATATAATATAAAAGGATAGTTTTAGTGTATTTATCAATTTCATCGTTCGAGATTAAACACGTTTGACGTTTTATTAATTAAACTCAACTTCATGCTTTTTGGTACCGTGCGTCGCCGACTTTCCGGACGGATCCTTGGTATCTTTAAGGAAGCATGGTGCGAGGACTCTTGGTATATATTGAAAATCATATAAGAAAAATTTCTAGATTCTCATTTCGCTAATTTGGAGAAATCAAGATTAATAGTCATAGTTCCCAAAGTTCGAAGCCTAAATACCATGCGTCGCCGACTCTCCGGACAATTCTTTGCTATCTATAGAGAAAAACAGTGTATTGTCGCATAGGTGTCGTATATTTCACCAATAGATTACAACAATACATTGCCAGGTGCTTTACGAGTGAAGCTTCTTTAACGAGCAATCGATTCGGACAACAAAACATGTTACATAACGATACCTCCAGTTTCTGCCACCCTCCTCGGTAATTTACGAAGCAATTTTTCCGAAGCCGTTAAATTGTCCTGGTTTTTTACTTCCACGCCCTCGTAAACGTCGTTTCGATCGTTCGATGTTACTTTGAAGTTTACGAGCGCAAAAATAGAGAAGTTATTTCGGGCTAATTGCGCGCATTGAAAATTTAACTGTCACCGAGGCTTGAGTTCAGAAATTGGGGTTAATTAGTGTTAAATTTATCAGATAGGAGATTCATTTCGTGGCTCAATATTCAGAACCTAACCGTTTCCCATCCACTGATATCTTCTGAAATAATTTCTATATGTATAAATATAGCTTATTCAGGCAATCGGACGGAGAACTTTTGAAACAATTTAAGATGTATAATAATTAAACGGAAAACACTGTCGCAATCCAGCGTGGCGCTTTCCAATTTTCCTTAAGTACTTCTTCAATACTTCGCTTTTGCTGATAGAAACGTAACTCTTATTGAAGGTACTAGCAACACCGTGAGAAAGTAATCAAGAAGCAAGGAAGTTTCTTACTTTAAATGACGGTATTTAAGCCGGATATCGTTCAAAACGCACAGCTTGCAAGCACAACAATGATTTACGATCTTTTTGCGTCCGGTATAAGTAAGAAACGGAGACTCGTTGCAGACGTTGATCCCTTAACAATTTCACTCCGTTTAATTGCATTCTATTCCGCGAGTAAGAAACGAATTTATGATGTATCGTGTTTCCCATTTCCGGAGAAGAAAAGAGATTTCAAAGTTCAAAAAACATGCTTCAAGTAAAACTATAATTCTCCGCTGTTCTTGTCTGCTCTCTTTTTAAGTCTGTTTCCACCGCTTCGCAAGTGGATGCTACGTTTACCTTTTTTCCCTGAAAAAAGTATAACATAAACACGGTAAACGAAAGGAAATTTTGCGATGCCAGAAAAACTATTCTGTCGGACGAACGCGCGGAGTTCGTATCCGCTTCAGATTACGAGCAGGTTATTCGTTTCACGCTATTTCACGGGAAAAGACTAGCTGTCCGCGTCTGTTGTGTATCGACACTCGATAAACTCGATGAAACGTTCTTTCGAACAACGTGACGATCTATCTCTGGCTAGCAAACACCGAACGGTTACGCGGACGAAGAAAATCACTCGATGGAAATACGGTTTCGGCTTGTTTGCCAACATCTATATCGTCGGCCCGGTAACACGCTACGCTCGGCAATAAAAAGAACAAGAGAGATCCTCGAAATTTTGTAAATAAAACGCCGATCGTTTCGATTAAATCACGCGCGATACGTGATACCGGAACGTTTGTCGAATAAACGCGATGAAATATCTGGGAGCACTGCTAGTAGTATTAACGACGAACTGAAGTGATAAAATAATTAATGTAGATAAAGAAAGACATGCATACAGAAATTCGCCGTTGGATTTTCGATTCTAATCATATTTAATCAGCTGTTCTTTCTCGCTTCCTTCTGATAAGAATTGAATAATTTTCAAATTATAATTAACGAAGTAGATTAGAAACGAATCGAGACAGAGAGAAAAATTTCTAAGCCTCTGTCTCGGTAGAGTAGTGTCTAATATAAGAATATAGAAAATTAGTATAGAAATGTAGCATCCACCATATTTACCTCCTATCTCCATTTAATAAATGTTAAATTTCGTTGTAATTAAAAAGCTACGCGATATCTAGCTAATAATATGCAGCAGATGTACAGGTTTAGATGCATGGAAGTGCACCGCAGGATGCACTAATGCAAATGTCATGTTATACCTAATGCAACGGTGCTTTTCACGCCTAAAGGAACTGGGAAAGAAAAAAGGTAACATAGAAGCTGGAGGGTGAAAGAGAAGGAAATCATGGATATTCCACCGAATAGCTAGGGTCTTCCTCGAAGTGGGAGCATCCAGATTGGTAGGCGTCCAACGATAAGCCGCAAACGTGCGCGGAGAGACGGAGAAGCAAAGCAACGTTGACACATGAATAATTGAACAGCGTATTTAGCAAATAGCTGCAGAGAATGGATCGCTTCTGTCCTCCATGTCCCCGGGACTATCTTTCTTCAGTTCGCATCTTTACCCTCGTTCTATTCGCGCTACATCCTATACATATATTTTTTCTTGAATTTCTTATCTGAACTTGTATAGCAAGTCCTTTCATATTTTCTGCTAGCTTTATAGAGTGAGAATCTTAGTATTGAATATAAAGGAAGAAAAACTTTAAGGCTAATGAAAATGATTCCAGTTATTACGGAATGTCGATAAAATTTAGAATCCTTCTTCTTCTTCCTTTTCTAATTAATCGACTGAATTCTGCTCAATGTTCGGAAAATCATAAACCACGTTTCGTTGAACAACTTCATTCCGTAATTTCAAATTTATTTTCCATGTACGTCTCGAAAACTTTTACGAACTATTCCAAGTCCTTTCGTGATTTCCTTTGTCTCGTTTCTTTCATTCCTCTGCGAGCCAACTTTCCCGCCCCAAACCACTCTACGCGACTATATTTTTGACCAAAACTGGACGCAACCGTCCGATTGTCCTCCTTTTTCATCTTCCTTTCCCCGTACTTTTATTTTTCTTACTTCGCTTCATTTTCAGACGTCCGAGCTGCCTTGTTCCTAACTCAAATCATCTTGGTCGTTAGTTCCTTAAATTCCACGCTGTTCTTCTCTAGCTAGACGCTAATAACACGTGCTAAAGCTCATAAGGATCTCGGCTCACGTTCCATTCGTGGACAAGACTGGCAGCTGGGTTTATTAAGCGAATATTGCTCCAACTTTCCGCCGAGTTCGACGCTTCCACCTTGTTCCAAAGACAAGGGACTCGCTAACTTCCGGTCAAGTGGTTGAAATTCACGATGCAACCTCGAGTTACAGAGTTCGTGACTGAGAATCGCCTTTGATAAGGAAATGGCATCTTCTGCTAACACGTGAAATTAAATCGAACCATAAGCTTAACAACTTTTAAAATGTACCAGTTTTTGTATTATTTTATAAAGGAAAAGGAATGTTTCAAAATATGTATGTACGTGCGAATAATACATTAAAGTGTAATAGAGGCACGGGTCAAAAAGCAATGCAGCACACGTTGCGCATAATTCATCGACAAAATCAGTGCGTCGTTCAGTTTCGAGCTATGTTCATCGATTAATGAACTACAGTACACATATTTTGCATAAATTAAACGCTTTCCTTGACAAATGAACCGAAAATTTAGCGACCGGATGGCCAGGAATAACTGCTACATCGTGCGGAGCAGTACAAACATTTCCGAAATATCGAATAAATTGAAACCATTGTTTCCATAGAGATTTTCAAAACAAATAAAATCGATAATATTCAATCATTCGATAACAATTACGCGCCAATAATTTCTTCCCGTGAAATTTAACCACCCACTTTTGTTAGTGATTAAATTACTCTTTCTTTTTTCTCTGTAATTTACTCAACATAATATTTGATATTTTATTTGCACGGACAATTTCCCGGTGCGCACAGGCAATGAAAATTCACGAAAAATCTGCTGCTCGACTATGTTGTCTGTTTTTAATTGTTGCATGGGTGTCTACAATTCGCGATACAGAAAAAACAATACAAGAGACAATAGGAAACAAAACCGCAGAAGTATCGAAATTGTTGTCCATTGGGCTGGTCAGTAGAAATTTTGGAAAACAAGGGATTTGGGTTACACACTGACGGCCAGGAAACTCGCGCTGTCCACTTCATGAAAACAGCAACCGGAGGATATAATCGGTCACAATCTGGAGAACTCTGACGATGTCTTTTGTGAAACAGGACATTGTACATTAGATAAACCATAGTTTCAAATTGAAAACTATAAAAGAAGAATTTCATGTTCTATTTTTTGAAAATAAAGAATCTTCTAATTTATTTATTTTCAATGAAAACGTAAATTTTTATCCACAAGAGTTGATTAATATTCCAAAGAACACTGCTATCGGATGATTTCTATTATCAAAATGACATCGCGAGTATCCGAGAGTGAAATACGATCTTTCAAATTAGTTTGAACTATTCCTTTTTTTCTCTTCAGGTAATTGCTTAAGTTTTGCTACAGGAATTTCCTACTCGGTTGAATTTATATCTTGGCAGACAACTCTGCTTGCAATCTAAACTTTCTTTCCGGAACAACAAGTTCATTTGTACATAGTATTAGTAGGATTTTAATTGAAACGACGCCAAATGAAGCGTATTAAACTAGCGATATACCTTTTACGTTCGAAGGTTTTCTAATGGAAGGAAAAATTTCGAATAATTTCAACGGGATCTATTTCCGTATCTGATAATTGTACAATGAAAAATAATATTATTCGTGGATCAGATCGAGCTGGAATTTAGGTTTACGAACATTTCTGTTCGCAGGCAGGCTTACACGGGCTAACCGGACATATCGAGTTCAACGAAGGAAAGCGGAACAATTTTAAGCTGGACTTGCTGAAATTGAAAAAAGAAGAGCTGGTGAAGGTGGGAGAATGGAAGCCTGGTTCCGGAGTGAACGTTACCGACGTTGGGGCTTTTTATGAGACAACCGCCACTAATATCACCCTGGTCGTTATGACGAGAGAGGTAATTAACGCCTCTTATCACCTTTCTCATAAAACACGCAGTGTTTCTTCGAATTGAAAATAACATATTTTTTATTCATCGAAATGTGTGACCTTCTATGAAAGTACACTACAACAATTTTCTTCTGGAAAACATATATTTAGGTATTTTTGTGGATCAGACCCTTGGTAATATCAGCAATTCGTCTTTGTAACTTTGTTGCCGAAAAATGCTTCATTTCTTCTCGTCATCAATCACAGGAGGCTTCCATTTAACATCCGATTACGTGTTCCCTCTCAAATCATCCGAAAGAAACTAATTTCACTCGATTCCACGTCAAAGGTTGGTGAACGTCAACCGAGATACGAGGCAGTTCCCGTCATCTCCATTTTCCAAGATGAAAGGCTCCGACGTCGGTGGAAAGAGAGAGGAGGCATCCAACTTGGAAGCTTCTAGCTCGAGCTCTCGCGTTAAGGCGTTCGATGATTGCGCATTGCTCTCCATCGTGTTTCATATCGTTCCTTCTTATCACGGAATAAGAAATCTTTTTTCTTTCTCTTTTTCGTTCCTTTCAGATAAAAAGAGTGAAATACCCGCCGTCTGTTCGAGCAGCTCTCCTTCTATCCGTCTGATTTTTAGCAGTAATCCATCAAAGGTACCTTTGATCCTTGTTCGCAGGAGAAACCTTACGTGATGGTGAAGGAGGACAAGAATCTGACCGGAAACGCGAGATTCGAAGGGTTTTGCATCGATTTGCTCAAGTGGATCGCTGGTCAAGTCGGGTTCCAATACGCCATAAGAGTGGTACCCGATCACATGTATGGCGTTTACGACCCGGAAACCAAAGAATGGAATGGAATCGTCCGGGAACTGATGGAGAAGGTAAGAGATTGCGTCTTATGGGATATTCTTGTGGAACCTTCTTTCAACACCTCCGGTCCCATCGATTTCAACCCTTAAACGATGTAAGCTGAGGTCAATCGTGGTTCAATTAAAATGAAATGACACTTTGAAAAACTAATATCAAAATCTAAAATGAAATTTAAATTGTTGGTAATAAAATTGAATGACGGTATTTTTCTATATTCGCTGAAAATTCAAATAGAACTCACAATGAGAAATGGATGTCCGTTTCAAAGAAATTGCATATTTTAATGGGAGAAAAAGGATAACAAACAGGAAGGAGAAGCGGTGACAGGGGAGGAGGCCGAGGACAATTTTATATGCAAAGCAGCGAACCGATGCTGTTGCAGTAAATCCATCACGACTAGAATTTCATTATGCATACCTCGAGCCAACGACGAGCACCTAATTTAGCGTTTCCTAACGGACGTTAACGTACACCGGATATTCCGATTCATAGAGGACGTGCAGGTGTTACCAGGTAACATCTGAATTGTAAAAAAATGCGGTTATTAAATCGAAATCTGATGTTGGAGACTGCTCGGACGATATTGGATAATTGATGAAGCATCCTGTGCCACCATCGGGTTCGATCAAGAAGATATTATTCAATTCTCAATAAATTGAAAGAAAATGAATTTTTCACTGCAATTTCGAATATAAACGTGAACTTTTCAACATGCACGGTAATATGAAAAATAATCGTTCGATGGAAAGCGTTCCAATGAGCTCTGAAAGTAAAGGAGTAAATAAATACGTGAAACCTGTCAGAGGAAAAGTAATTAAAACAGCGTTGAACCCCGGAGAACATTACGTTTGATGTATTAAACCAGCTGGCGAAGGTGAAACGAGGAAAAAGGTAAGAATAAAAACATTGATGGAAATGGTACCGTTCGCTCATTCAATGTGGAAAAGCATAGAAGAATTGAATGTACCAGGTAGGAATTAAATAATGAATGGAAAAAAAAGAAAATTAACGACTAAACTGATTGTTAGTTTCCTTATATAATTTGAAACACCTTCGTTAACTCGAGTTTCGTTGATTTTTATCATGTTCTCACCAAGTTTTAATTCATTGTTACATTGTTTTCAATTCAAGTGGCTATAGAAATAATCTAATAATATAGTAAAATTATTTCCATGAAGAAATGAAAAAACAAAGATGATACGGTCCTTCGTGAAATGCATTGAAATATTGACTTGGACAAATGTGAGCCGGTATCAGCTGGACGGTGGTTAAATATACAAGTGGGAAAAATCTGCAGCAAGAAAGAAATGAGGAAGCTAAATTTTCAGCAGAAAACTGATGAGTCGAGATCCTTGGAGACGCAGAGGTTGCGGATCGCTGTCGGCGGATTCGTGTTCCGCGCAACTAAACCCGCAACTCCGACACGGGTAACCGGTGAATTCCGAAGATCAGCGATTTATAAAAGATGCAAAGCAATCTGTCCCTTGTGAAAGGGTGCGCCCGACTTAACCCAGAAACTGGTGGAACCGTAAGCGGATCGTCCCGAAGGAAAGACGTCACCGACGGTGACCTAGCGTATATCCCCAATACGACCCCTTATAAAACATGCACCCGTTATTTTGCAAAGCAAACATTCGCCAAGCTTGACGCGATACTTAAAAATTTCTCACATTTTTAGAAATGAGAAAGAAGCGATGGTAATACTGTTACTTTACGTTTGTAAGTTTCAATAAATTCTATCTGGTTTGTCAAATGCAATTGCATTTTTGAAAAACCGCAGCTCTTCTAAATTTTATGAAACACTCTATCCATTGTTTCATCCTGAATAGAGTGGACAAAGCTAGTCGCTTAACGAATTCAAAGCTTTTCCACTCTAAATTCCCACATGATCGTGCAAAAAGTTCTCTGAACTGAAATCTTCTATTCTTTGCTTCACAGAGAGCGGACCTGGCTGTCGCATCCATGACGATAAACTATGCACGAGAAAGCGTGATTGATTTCACCAAACCGTTTATGAATCTCGGTATCGGGATTCTGTTTAAGGTGAGTCGCTGTTATCGTTCGCTGTTTCATCGATATTTATAAAAATTTGACGTTCGTACGCTTCTAATTCAGAATTCACGAAAATTTTTAAATTAAAATGATGCAGTTACAAAGATAACATACAAATTTGCTAAATTCGAAGAAAATTCCTTAATTTCAATGGTTGAAAATTTGTAGAAGATGAAATTAAAAGTTAATATTTCAATTCCGCAATTGCTTGAGAAACAACGAGCTGTGGAAAAAAATAAAAAGGAAATTCTCGATGAAATGAAACACAGGTAGAAAGTGTAGAAAAATGTTCTCGCAAAAGTACCGTCGTTCGACGGGCAAGCGTCACGGGATCCGTTTTAATTAAAATCGTAGCGTAACGTAATTTAGGTGCCCTCCAGCCAACCAACGCGTTTGTTCTCCTTCATGAACCCGTTGGCCGTTGAGATCTGGTTATACGTGCTGGCCGCGTATATGCTGGTAAGCTTCACCCTGTTCGTCATGGCACGATTCAGCCCGTACGAGTGGAACAATCCTCACCCATGCCTCGCGGAAAGCGACGTGGTCGAGAACCAGTTCAACGTCAGCAACAGCTTTTGGTTTATCACTGGCACGTTCCTCAGACAGGGCAGTGGGCTCAACCCCAAGGTACACTCAACGAGGTGCTCCGCCACTGGACTATTTCTTTCGTTCGATTCCTTTTCCTTCGTATCCATTTCACTTACTTCATTTCCCTCATACTTTTTATTTAAATTTCTAGATTCATTTTTATAGTATCACAGAACCTATCGATAGGATTCTGATCATTAAATTAGCAATTGTAATATTTACAAATATTCATATTTAAATTATAATAATAATGCCATTGCATTACGAAGACCGTAATTCCAAGAGTAAACTCGACACAATGGAATCTACAAATACCCTGATCTCCCTAAACCTTTCACGGTTCTCTGAATTTGCACAAAGGTCAGTTTCACGATCCATCTCTAATAATCCCGTTCCTAGAATTGGTGTCCGTTCTTCCGAGAACAGTTCGACGGACAGTAAAGCAAGCAAGCAGCTAAAGCAAATCAGAAGCTGTCACGCTGGTGGTCGTCGTCTTCGTTGCTGTTGAGAACAGACAATTCGAAACCGTCCGCTCGAGATGGCATCACGTTGTCCGGATCCCTCTAGATTTATAACCTAAATCGTGCTCTAGTTTCGACGTTACCTCGTCCGGAAGAAGAAGAAAAAAAGAAGGAAAGAATAAAGGAAGCCGTCTAGCGGTTGAACTCGTCATGCGTTCATAGCTATTGTGTTTCCGTTCCTGACGGGCCAAAGAATAGCGAGGAATCATGATTCCAGCGGGATAAAGAACCGTCTTTTTCAACTGTATCCCAAACTGTTCTTCTGTAAATTCTTACGCGCGAATAAATGATACGAGAAACGAGAACTCGGCTCGAAGAATCATCAAGGAGACCGCTCTAGATATCACCGTGAAATTTTAATGAATTCTTTAACAACTAAGCGGTAACGATGGTTCAACAGGTGTGCAAAAAACAAAAATTTTGAAGAGTGATGGTGTTGATGATATGAAAATACGTATAATTGCTTCAGGTATCCGGTCGAATGCCATCGAGATTGTTCTCGTTCATGAACCCTCTTGCCGTGGAGATCTGGTTGTCCATGCTGGGCGCTTACGTGATGGTGTCACTGACCATTTGGATAGTGGCAAGGTTCTCTCCTTACGAATGGATCGAACCGTTGCCTTGCCCCAGCTGCAAGTGTGCTCTCCAGGTAGGCTCTCGTCGAGTGGTGGAAATCTATCATAGTAACAAATAATTGTTGTGAAACTAGTAAACCTTGAATTTTCGCACCACTTGGCGGGGGTCGTGATTGTCATCAGGGTGGTCACGTGAGCGCCTTGGACCCTGACAGCGACGACATTCCTCTGCCAAGAACCGTCAACGAGTTCACCCTGGCCAACAGCTTCTGGTTTACGGTCGGCACGCTTATGCAACAGGGCAGCGACCTCAACCCCAAGGTAAAACGTGTCACCACAGAGTCGGCATTTAAACAAAACAATAGTACAACTTTGAAATAATTATCTGAAAAACAACTCGTTGGATTTCGTTCGTTATTATTTGAATAATAGGGTACCGTATACAGTTATTTACCCTTTTCCTAGAATAATAGAAAATATAAAGCACTGCGTTTTTTTAATATAATAAACTGTAATTCTATTCGGAATTAACCGTTTAAACAAAAGAAAATAGGATGAAATAGAAAATTAAATTAAAACTGTGGCTCTCTCCGTGGTCCGCGCACCGTCCAAGTGTTAAGAAACGCTTTATATTATATTTTTTACTTTTTTAGGAAAAGTACCAATCATTGTATAGAGTATAACAAGTGTATACGTTACTCTATAAATCAATTCTATGATTTTCCTATTAAATGATACACTTACTGTGAATAAAAGCGGCGTATCAATGGAAGGACGGGCAAAAGTGTAACAATCGGGTCAGTAACGATATCGCTGGACCATAAAGCGACTTGTACCTCGTAACGATATTATTCGCCGTAAAGGAGGCCGTTTAAAACGAGCTCGTGAAATTTCGGTGTTGTCATAAAGGTCCGTACGTGCGAACCCGTCCCCGTATTCGCTTAACTGCATCCACAGAGCAGCCACGGTTCGTTTTATTCGCCAAACAATCACAGAAACAACGAACCTCTTTCTTTCCCCTTTTTCTTTTTCGTCTTTTTTACCGCCCACTCCTTTTCTTTATAGACTTTTTCGTTTCATTCCACGTTTTCCAGCAGAAACGAGTTTTTCTCACATTTAATCACCGCGTAACTACACGTTCGCAAATCTGTCGGTTTTCCTTCGGCCGTGTAAAACGGGATATCCGTCGCCGGACAGAGTGAACAGTCGATGAAACTTTGTCAGCCGCGATATCTCGCGGGAAATGAGGAATGGAAGAGGCGACATATTGTGAGCAATTTCCTCGCCGGTCCTGTGCGTTTTATGGAGTCGGTTTTTCATCATTGATCCTTGCCGCGTACTTGTAACATCCTTTAAAACTGTATCGAGTTTCTTCGGGGAAAATAGAAAAAGCAGACCCATCACTTGAGTGGAAATAATTATATCGCCACTTTCCCTGGGAAAACCTAATGTACTCACTTAGTCATAATTGAAATTATAGATTTTATTGGGGTACTCGAAAAGTAATAATGCCGTGACGCGTAGATCTACTGTTTATTATTAAACAATGTTCTTTTGACCATACTTCTATTATTTAATGAAAATTCTCGTTTATATTTCTGTCCGACTCTTGCGATATTTTCAATAAAAATTTCTTAGAGAACATTCGTAATATAAAAGCATTCAAACGCCAATCATTATTCAGACTGCAATATCAAGTTGAATTCACCATAATAGTGCTTTTAGAAGGCTCTTAAGAGATCTCGAAGCAAAGAAAGCCTTCCTCCACTTTATGCCTTATTTTCTCGGTTATTTCCCCTTGGATCGCAAGGATACGATGTTTCGTTATTGAGGACTTTTCAAAAGGAACGAAATCCATCGAACGCGAACCATAAAAAATGCGAAGGAAACGAAATCCAACGAGGTAACACGTTTCCGTTTCGAGAAACGACGTGTAAACCTAGGTAACACTATATTTTTCAAGCACCATATGAGTACATCGTGCAACTCAATCCATACAATTGAATACCACTAGCGAATAAAAAAAAAAGATGAAGATGCGTCAAGGGTTGTTTCGACAAGTTTTGTAACAAGAATATATATTTCAGCGTGTTTCCAAAGAAAAGAGGAATACTTGTAGCAGTAGATATTGAAATACCGTCGAAATCCTCCGGTTTTAGGGACCTAAAAACGATCGATGCATTTCCATAGATCGCATGTCACCCCTGCATGCACATAACAGCCAAGCACCTTCTTCTATTTCGTTAACCCCCTTTTCCGTTTTGCATTTTCACTTTGATAGAAAAAAAAGAAGGTCATCGATCAAACGCCTGCTTGAAACAGATTTCGCTAACTTGACTTGAATTCTGACGTGCCATTTTCGTGACAACGACAGGAGGGTGGATAGTAAATTCTTTCATAGATCGATTTCATGCATGGATAATAGTTAGTTTTAAAGTTTAGAGAATTTCACACGTGACGATGAGGTATAATGTATAGGAAGTGATAAATATACTATCGTGTACTTTGTGTAAGATCTTCCCTTAGTAGATGATTAGATTAATTACACTGATTTTACACATCAGTGCTTCCTTTGAGAGACGAGAATAATAACGCTGAAAGGCTTTGATAATACAAAATAAAGAAAAGAAAAATATAATATTACTAGTATTAAAGCTGAAATTTGAAAATCAACTATCTATGTTTTTAAACGCAATCAACGCGTTAATAATCCGTATAATTATGTGTATCATTCTATACACGGCTATTTCTATTGTGCCAATCAATGTTTCAACTTCCCGTGTGGTAATTACTTCGATCATTCAAATGTGCAGTTTACGACCCCTCAGTAACTTACAGGAAATGAACTGTGTCGAAAAGCTGCTATAGATCAATAAAATCATCTTCTATAGAAAATTAGCACTTTTGTTATTGAACTACGAATGTTTACGCCTATCAATTTTCTATACTAATTCGCAGTTTGTTCATCGCGTAGCTTACACCGAACCTAATCCATCGCTTCAGAATGTATCAATTAGAAACGTTCCTTAATTAAATACCATCGCAATTTATTTAATCCTTCTCCTCTAAAGTTTAGAATTTCACGCGCTGCCAGCTGCGATAATATTTTGCCGAAGGTGAGAAAGCTCTTTCTAACGGTACAAAGTTAACACCTGTACAGCATATGGTGCTAGCCGGCTCTGGTGGCATGTATATGTACATGCGGGGTTGTCGTTGCGAACTTTACGGGTACCTAGCCTTCACTAGGGAAAATGCCACTTTAAAAGAAGGAGATCCTGTATCTTTGATACAACATTAAATTAAAATTAAATCTTAATATTAGTATCTCCAAAATTAGGATTTAAAAAAAAAATAATTATTGTTCTATTTTCCCCATTTTCCCTAAGGAAGCCAATTCTACTCAATACTATACCTACTTTCACACCAAAACCGAAGATTCTCAGTGAATCTCACGAGGATCTTCGGCGTATCACTTGTGAAAGCTTGGACGAGCGGACTTGCGATCTTTCCAGCACAAAGGAGTGTACGAGAGTGTACGAATTTCGCGAAAATGCTCCTCGAACCTCATTATACCTCCACCTCAGATCCCGATGGAACACGCGGCAAGTGATTTCCTCGCGAAGGAACCATTTACCGCGATATGAATAAATAACAGCTGGAGTGGAAAAGTGTTCGCGAAGCAATTCCTTCTCTGACACGGTTGACACTATTTTTCCAACAGTTCATCCACATGTGCGTCTTATCTACAATTGCAAAATGCTCTTATTTGATAAAGAATATTTGACTAGAAATGATGAAAAGATTTCGTTTGAAATTTGGGAGAAAATACGTAACTTTAATTTCTGAAGTTTTCAATTGAATTTTAAGTATTTTAACCCTTTGACTACTAAGGATGCACATATGCGTCAGGTAAACATGTACATCTTAATTATAATCAAATAAAAATTATCAACGCATATTACTAATTACACGCCATATTTTATCACAATATAATAATGTGATAAAAGACTGAAAATGAACGAAAATAAATGAAAAAATAAATTGAAGAATGAAATTCAATAAAAAGAGAAGTGATAAGTGTTATTGAACGTTCAAGTCAAAGAATGTCAAAGACTGTCGAATCAATCAGAAATCCTTAAAATTTTTCTCATAGAACATCCTTTATACGAATTCTTGTAATTAATGATCCTTTTCCTTAAACGACCAGTCCCTTTGCTGAACATGACAGAGATTCGAAGAAATTATTCAGAAATATAGTCGTCAGTCGGTAATCGGTTCGACGATCGGCTCTCACCGACCCGTTAATGGATCGAAATATGCCATTAGCGGGCTGAAGTCGCATCAACGAGACCGCATATTGCATTCTTCGATCCGTCTAGTGGAATGTAGCCGAGACACGGAGCCCCCGGGGGGTCTTAAATCGTCTCTCGGCCTCGATGCTTCACCGACGTGGTTTCAATTGATCGTCGAAGCTCTTTATGGGCTTCCGGCACGGAAGATGCGGAATCGAAGCAACATTTATGAGAAAGCTGATTGCCCGGCAAACATCCTCTGCTCGAATGAGTGTGTACCTTCTATGCTCCTTTCGTTACCTCTTGATCCGTGATTCCCCGCTGTATTTCAAAATTATTCGAATTATCACTCGAGTTAACGATATCACAGAAAGGAATTGCTTGCGAAATATATATATATATATATATCGGTTCTAGTTAATTGAAGAGAGTATTGATCGTTATCAGGCAACTAGCACGAGAATCGTGGGCGGAATCTGGTGGTTCTTCACCCTGATCATCATCTCCTCTTACACGGCGAATTTAGCGGCTTTCTTAACAGTGGAGAGGATGATAACGCCGATCGAAAACGCGGCCGATCTTGCTGAGCAAACCGAAATCGCTTACGGCACTTTGGAGGGTGGCAGTACGATGACCTTTTTCAGAGTGAGTAATTTTCAACAGTTTATTCATTTACGTTGGAACAGTATTATATTATACTTTTGGCAAATACCGATCGTATGTAATTTTGAGAGGCCATTCTTAGAAGATGAATTACAAGAGTCAACCAGAACTGGTTACATTCTGTTGAAACAAAGTTGGTAAATAACGAGAGTTGTCGGGTATAGGACGAGAGTCTTCTACTCGTGGGAAGTTGGTTTCAAGAAATGGTCGAAATATAAGCGGAGTTACGTGGAATAAGAAGTTAGAAACTCTCTGCTTTCTTAAAACAGATGGTTGAAGAAGTTTCCCTGAAGATTTAGATAATTCAAAGGTGACTCCTCCTGTTGGCACATGCAAATTTCACGAATAATTACGAAGTAAAGCTAAAGAAAATTTTCACGATAATATGTAAATATAAAGAGGGAAGAATTTGTTTAATACGGTTAATGTTTCAACCTCGTTGACGTTTTATATTTCGCCAAAGCAGAGGGTGAAATTTTACTGAATATTCCCTGCACGCCTTTCGAATATTTCAACGAACGCCATGCGACTATGTATCCGCGGCTCATCCGGAATATTAAAACCATAAACTACCGGTTGCAATCGGTCCTGCAACAAATTTGACTAATTATGCCGGTGAAACGTGCAAGCCGATTTTCATAACGTTCATACATAGAAAACGTGAAAACCCTCTTGTTCAATTTCCGACAGTCCTCTGTAGGCGAACTCTTATCGTTATTAAATTTCAATGTTCGTTTCAGCAGTGTATTACTGTTACATTGGTATTAATATCGCGTTATTGGAATAGTATTTCACAATGAGCGTATCATGCGTTATCACAGGAAATCCTTTTCCCAGACAGAAAGAATTTTTTTCCTCAACGAAAATATTCCTTTGCAATATATTCAATGAATTACTGATTATTTCCTGGATAAATTCATACGGCAGAAAATTCAAAACGTATCGCGGAATGAAGGAAATCAATGGCAGGGGAATTAATACTTTATGAACACGTTGGTCGACGCGTCTATAAATTCAATTATACCGTACCTTATTCTAATTTTAATTTCGTTCAATTTTCATTCAACAAATATTTCGTTTAACGAGCAGGATTCGAAGATCGGCATATACCAGAAGATGTGGAGGTTCATGGAGTCGAAATCACCCTCGGTGTTCGTGAAGAGCTACGAGGACGGGGTGAAAAGAGTATTAGAGGGTGACTACGCATTTCTGATGGAGTCTACCATGCTCGATTATGCGGTGCAACGAGACTGCAATCTCACACAAATCGGTGGTCTGTTGGATAGCAAAGGATACGGGATCGCTACGCCAAAAGGTAAAAAGGTCGAAATTTTGATAAATTATAATAAGAATTTAACGGCATTGATGAAATTCGGAAAATTTTTTAAGATTTAATCTTATCAGGTAACTCTGACGAATTCATTAACAGAGCCTAGACGCAAACGCTCTTTCCTTCTACCTTCACTTTCTCCCCAGCTCTTTCCGCAACCCTTACATAAAGTGTTAATTAGCAACTGCAAACAGTCTACGCTTGAAAATCGGTTAAGCCACTCGCTCGGTTTCGTCGAAAACGTGGCGGAAGTTCATCCAAGTGATTGCCAGGCTGGTTACCCTTGAAAGCTTACCTCGAAATTTTTCAATTTCTCCAAATTATCCGCGTTTTCTTAATTCATTACTTCGCGCGCCGTATCGTAATTAACCCTTGAAAGATTCGAAACTTTCGTCGAAATACCTGGATTACAATTTACAAACTGGTGCGTCTGTAAGAAAAGTTTGAAAGAGTGAAAAATTTATTTTGTGGCCGCCTTTCTTTTTTCTCGGTAAAGAAAGAAAGAGCAATCTCGGCTTCGTTCAAAGGAAAATCGCCGGATCGTTGACCGACTTAACGAAGCCGTTTTATATGCAGGTTCACCCTGGAGGGATAAAATATCTCTGGCGATTCTGGAGCTACAAGAGAAGGGGGTGATACAGATCCTGTACGATAAGTGGTGGAAGAACACCGGGGACGTGTGCAACCGGGACGAGAAGAGCAAGGAGAGTAAAGCTAACGCGTTGGGCGTCGAAAATATCGGTGAGCTAGCGAGAATTGAAACTTTTTTTTTTCTCCCCCAGCAAGGGTTGGCTGAAAAAGAGAAGGCAGTGGTCCTGAGAAACTGGGCTATAATTTATCGCCGGGGCTGAAAACCGACGGAACTTTATCTGATGTTGCCCAAGAAGGGTTGAAATTTTTATTGGAAAGTATTAGCACTTTCGTGGCTTCTTTTGCTTGAAATTCTTTACAAAAGCAGAGAAAAAAATAAATTATGGGGAGGTGCTTTGTGTAAGGGGTGGAAATTAGTTAGAATAACAGGTGCAGTGAGAAACAAAAATTTTTCAGTTTAATTAATTAGCTTGCAATTAAGTGCATAATAAGGATTCCTACTTTAAAGTAATTTAGTTAATTACTCAATGGTTAATGAGGAAATGAATAGGGGTGTACAAAAAATTTGGAAAAAGTCCGTCGAAATAATCGAACTATGTTAATACGAGTATCAGTTGCCATAATTAATGCACATCAAGTAATCAAGAGGAACAATCAGTTTAATCAACAGAACAGTCATGAAACAAAGACAACGAAGTCATTAAGTACGTTCGAGTGTAGCTGTACCTCGCCCACTGTGTAACTAACTTAATTTATCGGCTTCCGAGTAGCATGTTGGGTTACATAATGAACTGTGGATGGATTTCAATTGGCTGTAGAATTGCGTAACAAACCATACATAGAAGGCTAATATGTTTAAACGGTACTGGGAAACATTTTCATTGCCTCAAAATATTTTAGAGCTTTCTACGTAATATTTTCCTCAATTTTATTAAAAGTATTTGAAAATGTTATATTATATTAAACCTCCACAAGCCTTTAATATACGAAATGCCATGTCAACCAAACTAGAAGTCCAATCCAATATAATTCCATTATAATTCTGAACATCCCGAGAGATAAGACAATTCGAATGACAGAAGCTCATGTCACGAATAATCACATACTAAATTCAAATATCACAATTTCATTTCACATGTCACAGAAGTTTCATAATCAGAATAATATTAATAAGAAATTAATATTACTGATCCAATTAAGAAAATAAATTATGCTCGGTAGAAAGAATTTAATAATGAAACATATGATGTTCTAATTATGGGTCAAAGTGAGTAAAGTTTTTCAAGGATTAATCTAACATTTCGTGAAAAGCTACGTTGTACAATTTGTAAAATCCATTTTTCGTTTCACGAAAAAATGAGATATTCTGTGTCAAGGGTCAGGAAAAATCGACTTCTAGGTCGAGGCTCGATGGCATTCTGGACTTTGTAGGTGAGAAATTGCAAAGTTCTCGCTTGTGAAACGCGAAATGGGCTGCACTTTCTCGCATCGTCGCGAAATTAACCGAGACAACGGGGAAAGAGAGAAGGAAATGGGACTGGCGCCCATGCGAGAAACTTTGCTGCTTCCGGTGAAAACGTCGTTTAAATCACAACGTTGGTGCAGTTATGCAAATCGCTTCCATCTTCCTTTCGCTCCTGACAAACACGAAGAATAAAATTAAAACGCGTTTCGCGTAGAAAGTTTTCAGAATCGAATATTAAAAATGGTTCGTAAAGTTTGTAATTGTCGGTCCAGAATTAACAACGTTACTCGACGAAAACGCTGATACCCCCAGTTACAATTAAACCAGAAGTTGGATGACTGAAGAGTAAGCAGACGGCAATGAGAGCTCGGGCATATAACGATTCGAAAAGTTGATGTTTGCGAGCATGCAAGTGAAACTTCGTGGATCTTATTTCATCCAGAAAATGAGAATTCCCTTCCGGCTCGTATGAATCCTGAAAATCTAGTATGAAGCTCGAGTATCATTAATTTTATAGAAAATTTCAATGGAACATTAAAATAAAAGAACCCTCCATTGAAGTACCTACGTGTTAAAAATAATACAAAACTTGCCGATATGAAGAAAAACTTGCAAAATAACATTGAACGGATGGCTTGACACAGGCTGACTTCATAATTTGCTTAGAGACGAAAGTTTCACGATGAAACTTTGCCAGATCCGGGGTATCGAGACGACGCGTGGTAGACGGTAGGCGAGCAAACCGAACGAAATGATCGTCCTGGAAAATAAATACCCCCGTAACTTCAACGAAACTCCTTTCGCTACTATGCTCATTTTTCCAACAAGCAACTTTACGGAACGCCGGATGGAATAACGAAGCGTTGCACGTTCGTTCATAAATCACGAGAATCGTCGTTAATTTTAATAAAAAAATTTATCATCGATAATAAAATACTCGCGATCTTCGAGGCTACATTATACAAATTTCTCTCCTCGACCCTTTCTTCTGGCGAACTTTCAACTGAAAGGAAAAAAAGGTGGCGCAAGGTGAAAAGGAAACGAGGGGATCGAGAAATGGAGCGACAAAGACTGACGGGCGCGAGAAGACGCAAGTGTGAATAACGACAGGTTTGCATGGACGAAGGGGAAGGTAGACAGATGGATAGATAAATAGATAAATAGAAAGGTGGGGTGGGTATAGGAGGGGAAAAAAAAGGAGGAGAGGGGTCAGAGGGTGATAGATAGTGAGACAGATTCAGGTCCTTGGTGGCAGTTACATTAACCGTGAAGCGGGATAGAGCTTGACATCAGAAAAGAAGCAGAGACAGCCGGAGGCGGTAAAATAATGAGCTTCCGGTTTTCTCGTTCCAGGTGGTGTCTTTGTCGTGCTTCTATGCGGCCTGGCGTTAGCGATCCTCGTTGCGATCCTCGAGTTCTGCTGGAACTCGAAGAGGAACACCCAATCGGATCGGGTAAGTGAACAGAACCGCCACCGTTCTAGATAATTTCCTACGATTTCGTGCTTCGCGTGTACGTGCTGCATGAGTGTACTTTCTCTCTTATGGCGTGCAAGGCCGTGCACCTTCATTCTTTCCTATTTTCCTTCCTATTTCTCCTTGACACTTCCAAACGATACGGGAGATTCTTGGTCTGCTCGAGGTGTCAGCTGCATGCCGTGTCGAGCACTCTTAAAGGATGTTCCTCCCTTTTATTTTGTAGCTACACGAACGGGAAAATGTTTCCCTAGTAGCTAGATTTGTTGCGAGATTTGTTCAAGTATCATGAAATAAGAGTTTAGAAACCTTGAAGGTAAAAGTAATTTGTTGGCAAACGATTTTTATTTCATCCTGGCTCGAATTTACTCATTACTACGCTTTGTTCTTCTTCTTTTATTATTTATTAAATTATAACACAGTTGAGAAAATAGTCAGTGCAACGATAGTCAATATATTATGGTGCGTCTGACTATGCGTAGACCTGTTCTACTGATCAGACAGTACTCTCCTTCTCTTCCATGATAATTAGAAGCTAATATTTTTTTTTAATTTTATCATGCTTTTTCAATCATCATAATACTTATACATAGTATACAGGGTGTCCCAGCCCAAGTGTGACAGAGCCGTTATTCCGTAACTATTAATGATACAAAAAATTGATGATATGGAAATTTCACGGTAAAATGGGAACTATGTTTTAATCGAAGTGAAAAATATTTTGCATTATTAGTTTAGGAGATATGATGGTCAAGTTTTGTTTTTTAAATGGAACCATATATTTTTTTTCAGATCATGCAATAGTGCTTCTCAAGACGAATTCATTAAGCTTTAATGTATACACTCGATTTTAATTAGTTTTCAAGATATAACGTTTACAAATTTCCCAATTTTCAGTAGATACGTCTCGATTTGAGTAGCAAATCGTAAAATTCTAATGACATGTTATCGATAACTCTTCAAGTGTGCTCATAAATCTAACAGCTTTCATAAAACATGGCTTATAGGAAACTTTTAAAAAAGTAATATACAGCTACAAAATCTTCATCAACAATATCTAACACATCCCATTTTCTTCCCCCTTTTTCATTCCTCATCATTCATCCTCTTTTAACACTTTGATTGTCACGCTGAGGCCGGTGAAAATTCCATGAAATATTACTTTTTTTTCACAAATCTTATCTATATTATTTTAATTTGTGAAATTTTAATTAATTTATTTAATTAAATTAAGTCCAAAAATTCCTAATAATATGTATAATGAATTTTTATAGAAATTCATGGGTGACGTGACAGTCAAAGTAATAATTAGTTTAAAACTGGTTTTCATTATCATAACGCGTTTCCCTATTCAGTAGAAAATTCCTAAAACAATTGCACGGCCTTGCTCGCGAGAGAAATTGCATGACTATCGAGCTGGTGGTGCGATCGTCTTCTGTATCATTTGTTGGTATTGTTGTGCCTGCTCTGACGGTCCCTGTCCACGTGAACGACGTCGTCTTCCGGTCGACTTTGCAGTCGCTATGCGCCGAGATGGCCTCGGAATTGCGGTTTGCCGTGCGCTGCGGCTCCAGGCAGAGACCAGCCGCGAAAACGCGCAATTCCGATGCCGCGGTTCCCTGCGGTCGTTGCAGTCCACGTGCCAGCAGAAGAAGGACGCGATATTGTTCGACCGGCCACGAAGAGACCACCTACATACCAAGCATCGAGATACCACGGTTAAATGGTGTAAGTCTTGTCCCTCACGACGGGCTCGCGATCACCTCCGATGGCCTCTCTTTACACCCTCCCTCCATCAAATCAATTTTCAGTTCGCGTTCATCGAATTTCAATTCAATTAGGTTTCCTAATTTTTCACCAAAAGGAGTCAAATATCAAAATTTCGATTCAGATCGATTTATAAACCCTTGGAAATAAATATTTTTCCAACGTTTCATAGCGAAACGCCCGAAGATGCGATCGGAAAAAACTGTGCAACAGGCAGCGAAACGTCTGCAATCCAATTTCACGTTTCATCCAATCGCGTCGGAATACAAACAATTCGACGTGTTTGCACGCCGAGTTTGTTGATTTATCGTTATATCAACTGTCAGGTGTACGTCGATCGAAAAGGATCGAAAGTTACGAAACGAATGACACGCGAAGTGCTGAAAAGAGAAGCCATCGATCGATCGCGGAGCTGTGTCTGTTTTCACGGCCGATTCGATCCTCGACGTGAATGATATTCGAACAGTACTCGATCAACACATCTGCCGTGCCAGGCTATTCACGAACGATCCGTGATGATCGGGAATAATTTTCGAGGATTCGATTAACGTGATCGATGCACAGTCTCCATGGAGCCCCAGTATATATGTACATATATTCTTTCATCAACGAGACGAGAACCATGGCTGAAAGGGAGTATTGCAAAATAGGAGTGCTTGCGAAAAAATTGTCCCTTGATTGTCTTTTCGTACTCTTTGTGTCTCGTTTTTACATGTCTCTCTGTTGTATATCGTGATACCGTACGGTTTAACGTTAATCAACATTATTTTATTCGTACAAAGATATCTGATCTGTATTGTGTGTTATGCATTTTGGCACGGTCCATTTATCTTGCTTCTAGCGAAACGATCGCAAACGTGAAATACACTATAATTTGTATGTAGTATCGTATAAGTACTTGTGTATGTCCGTGTGCGTATATACTTGATTGCATGCCTGGAATTGCTGTTGAACGATTACAGTAATGATCACACGTGCCTTGGGTTAGGTTCGTTACTTGCCACGCTGGAATCTATCTTCGCATTAGAACGAACTGTTTTACGAAAATTGCTTTACTGTGTAGTAAGCACTCGGAGGGTTTGAAATTTCAGAAATAAAATATCAAATATTTCCCTTGAGATTGAACAAAATCAAGTATTTCTCCTTGATAATTAATAATTTACCGAGGGAATAAATAATTGTCAACCTCTGTTTAGTGAATTTTCAGTAACGGTGTGCTGCTATCCAAAAATTCGGGACCAAAATTGAATTTCACCGTTCCATCCGATCCGGCCCCGGCTACCCTCACACCCCTAATTTTCAACCCCATTTTCTTATTCTCGTCGCAATTTCAAAGCAGTTCACTCTATTCCATACGATAGAGTACGGAAATATATTCGGTCCTATTTGGATATCGCGTTACGATATCGTGGCATTAAGTAGCTCGTAAAATTTCATTCTATGTCTATTGAATGGTTACAGTTCAGCAAATATCAGTCCGATATGCGAGAGAATAGAGTGTTCGTTAAACAAGATTGGAAACGTTTCATCGTCCTCGAACACTCGCGTGAGTGGTGCTCTGGATCGTGGGCGGAAGTGATTTTTCCAGGCTACGTCACACATTTTCGATGCCCGTTTCCGTCTATCCAACTATCGGTTCTTCGGCAGCCACGGCCAGGACTGCGGAAGAAGCAGTTTTCAGTTCGCCCCGATACTTCCGCCAGTTTAAATCTCATCAATATTCCTCTCGCCTCGCGATATCACCCCTTGTAAAAGGGAAACAGATTAAAATGGAATTTCGAGGCTCGTTAGCCAACGTTCCCTCGATTTCGCTTCTATTAATTGCCGTTATCGATCGCTTGGTCGATCGACTTCACGCCACATATTTCGTGGGGGAGAAAAAAAAATATTTACCGTACGTCATCGAGATTGGAGTTAATTAATATCTTCAAAGGCTGCAGAAATTTCATATAATCGAAATAATTGAAAAATAAACGAAAATTTTCGGCTACGTTAATCGAATTAAACGTTGCAATGAAACGCGGACGAAATGTGGTACGATTCGTTTATAATTCGCTTTCATTTTCCAATTAAAACTTTCCATCTGTTACACCACGAAATTAATATATTAATTTTTGATTAAAATGTCGTATTAATAGTATTAATTTGTAAAAATATGTGAAGCAACCTCGAATTGAATTTCTAGAGTTACACCAGCTTCCCAATTTATCCCTTTTCGCTGATCTATTCGTCCGAGTTTAATTACAACTCGAACTCAGTTAAGATAGCGACACAATCGAGTTTCATCGACGAGTTCATCCCCCATAACTACGTTTGAATTGGATTTCTGGTGTTCGCGTCTACTTACTTTGTTGGGAACAAAAAGGGGGTGAAACGAGAGGGAGGGATATTCGTGCTCGTCTCGAATTCTGCTCGCTTCCTCTTTCGATACTTTAATCAGTGCTTCGGTATGCTGCTTGCCGACGTCATACAATCGACGCGGAATATTTATTGCAGCATTTCAAATTTCTCGGTAGCACGCCGATAATGCTCCTCCTTTTCGTCCCATACATCGATCTCCTCCCACGGAAACGAATTCCTGGTATTCGATGGAAAATATGAATCGGTGTACCCCGGAGTCAATATAAAATTGTTAAATACAAGAATGACTCGAAGGGGGTAGATTTACAAAATTCTTCAAATACGAATGACTTTTCAAGATTTTTCCCAGTGAGGCAAGTATCGGACATAAGGGTAATAAAGTAGACGCGAATTCGATAGGTTGAGCCACGCGAGCGGACGATAACTCCTTTACGAGCTTTTAAAAAGTTTCGACAACTTTTAACGAATCCTCCTCCCCCATCGCATTCACCGGCTTCCTCCCTCCTTTTGGACAACTTTTTAATAACTCCGCTCGCAGCCACATCAGATACTAGCCGAAGGTTTATTCACCGATAACTGCCCCGATATAGCTAACACCTGCGCTTCATTCTATCAGCAGGAGGGTGGTGCGTTGTCGATGACGGAGATGAAGAAATCATTGAGCTTCGATCAAGTGGGAGCGGGCCGTGGCGGGAACACCTAGCACAGGCCTCATCCTCGTCTTCATCCTCAGCAGCAGCAGCAGCAGCAGCAACAGCAACAGCAACAGCAACAACAGCAACCGCCACCGTGCAAAGCCACGCCCACGCACACACGTCACACACACTGCCACTCACATTTACACAGTCACAGTCACAGTCATACGCACAAGCACCAACCACCCCCACCGAGGCAGAGACGGGGTTCTTCAAGCATCGCCTTGGGTCAAGGTAAAAGTGAACCTTCGAAAAATGAACAAAATTATTAAGGGGGCTAATTTTCGTCGTCTGTTTCAGCTTTCTTTTCAAAACTGGTAGACAATGAAAAATATTGTTATTGATTTTGTTCGATGTTCAGGAGGTGACCACCCTGAGAGTATTCTCTGGAGATTCGACTGCGACCTGGCTGGTGAGCCAGACGTGGTGATATCGCCGCCACCACCACCGCCGCCACCCTCCGCGGTCGTCTCGAGGACCACGACCCTTTGACCAATACTCGAAGAGGTGCCGACAGGTGTGCCCGTCCAGAAGGAGCTGCCCACCCAGGCATCGGTGGTCGTGAACGCGGTCGATCAAAAGGAGACTTGCTTATAGCATATGTAGTCGCCGGGGTGGCTGAGTCGGCCGCCACGCGGCCTGTCCTGCCCCATCGGCGACCTTCGATCATCGATCGACCAGCTGTCCACGTGACGATACAAAAAAAAAAAACTAACAAATTTTCTTTGTTCAAACGAAGACCCGTGGACGTTCTGTGTGCCAAAACTTGATCCCAAGAAATTCGATCGGGAAATCGTATCCGAGGACCATGTATCGAAACGATAACGTTCGATGAAGAGTACGAGGTCTTGCCAGACCACGAATACGTTGCAAGTAGTAGAATGTTCTTAAAAAGACGCTAACTTCAACGAAGATGAAAATCGAACGAGAGCCATCTGTTACTAATGATCCCGGCTCGACGATCCACGATAAATGGTGGACGCAGTGATAAAACGGGATCGAACGTACGGCTTTGGAAAGGTGTCGCCGTGTAAACGGCCAGACGGAGCTGAATGGCAAATGAAACACCGTGTGCAACGCCAATCAACTGGGAAACGATCCCGTGTTTCCCAGCACGAGGACTTTCGAGGCTGACGGGAACGAATCGAAGCTAAACGGCCAATTGAATTGCACCCACTGCCCCCTCACCCCCTCTCCCACCGCTGATGCAATGAAACTGTACGTCGTTCGACAGCTATTATATTGGTTATCCGATTTACAAGCTAAACATATCGAAATGGACATGTAAAATAGACTCGACGATTCGAGTTCCAGTTAGGATATAGTCAGGGTGGTTGGAGTTAATATGGAAATGGTAGGTATGCAGCTGGTCGTCTGTTGAAGATACATTGATTAAAAAATTCCGGATTAGCCTTTCATTTTGATAAATTAACATAAAGCTACAATTAGTTTTCTTTTGGTAAATTATTAAATATCAACTCTTGCTACCCTGGCCATAGCTACGAGATCATCATCGATAGACCGAAGAAAATCAAATTTCAAGAGTGAATAATGTATGATTAGACTCGGACCAAACTCCTAGTGTTCACTGCCAACAGCTAGCCTAACATAGTCGAAGAGCTTTGAATCGGACGAGTGGATAGATTCACCGATGTTCACGGCCTAAAGAGGATGAGCTGATCAGCTTCTGGGATTCGAATGGACCAACGAATTTTCGAATTAAAAATTCAATTTCAATCGCGAACGTATGCACAACGAAAGAAACCCAAAGCTGCTTATCAACAGCGTCACGGTTTATTTAAAAAAGCAAACGCAGTGAAAGGAATTCGAGTTCGCTCAGGATGAAGTACAAAGTTTCGAAATCGTCATCCAAGGACTGCCATTTGTTTCCTTGCGAAGGATCACGGTGAAGGACCATGAGTTTTATACAGGTTTAAAAGGACGCAGCAAAATCGAAGCCTCGAAACATCGGAAGTGGAATGTTTCAAGTGGAAACGCACTTATCCTGCGACGGATTCAACGAACAGTTTGTTCGAATTCTGTATCATAGACACGGTTGCACACGACGATGATTTACACGCAAAACACGCTTCATCGGACGATTGAATAAAGGATCACGTGTTCGTGCGTATATCGTATAGTTTACAATAACGTAATTTTGTCGTAAGCAAGTGCGTAGCCGCGTAAGAGACCTAGTCATATTTTGACACGATCGACGGTTTATTATCGAATTAAAAAGAAATTAAAAAAAAAAAAAAAACGATATAAACGTTGTATATACAGCGACTGTTTTTTCACGAAGTTCGAAGAGGCGACGCGTTGCAGAGCGTGTTTTTAGCGTCGCGTTGTACCGCGTATACATACAACACAGATACAACACACACACTACACACACATACACACCGATGAAGGAGGTGAGAAGAGAAATAATTTCGATTTAATTAACACGTTCATTGTCGAGCAGAAAATTATAATCATCGTTCACTTTTATTTATTAAAAAAAATTGAATTTGTTGACAACTATGGAAGTTACATAGTAGATGTAATTAAATCTATATAATCACTTTATTTCATAAAATCTCAAGTAATTATTCTAATTGTACAGTCAATTGACAATGAACGTGTTCACCCTTTCGCTACTTGTCTCCAGTGAACAATTGATTAACAATTTTTTCAAGGAAAATTTCTGTCATTTTTTCAACCCAAACAACTACGCATTTGTACCATTAATTAATCCAGCGAAAGGGTTAAGATCATTATTAGAAAAAAAGATGGAACAAGAGCGTCGAATGTGTATATGGAATATGTAAATTGAAAAGAACAAATCGTACCAAAAATAGAGAGCAATCTGGACGAGTAGTCAAGATGAAAAAAATGGAACATGAAATACAACGTCGATGAAAACTGTTACAAAGGACGAAAACGACAAAAGCTTCGATTACGTTGGAAAAATAGATTGTGAAATTTTGTTTGAACGGCCATATTGTGGACGTATTTTTCGATTCCGAATCCTTTGAACTGAGAAACAAGTGAAATATTGGAAAATATATAATTTTTAATTAATTTTTATCTTTAATAATCAGAATTTCAATATTCCATTTTCACTGTGTCAGTCAACGCGTTAAATATTGAATTAGGTGTAAAAGTTTGATCAAGAAGAGCTATCGATAACTTATACAATTCTGAAAAAAGGTACTGTAAATCCTTAATCAACGTCAATTAATTAAGATCGTAAATCCGATCGAATTCGAATAGACGTCTATTTACTTTTATCGAATCACCATTCATTTTTCTCCAATATTTCCGGCTCCATTTTTCTTGCATCCGTGATAACAAATTCCAATTCAGATGCATCGAAAGCACATATATAAATCGTAACAACGATGGTACGATTCGTTTCGACAAATGGACCGAAATCACTGCGATTGCATAGATCAAGGAAATATCGTTCGACAGACAGGAAGCCATTCAACGTGATAAGGAAAAATTACGACAAATACGACATTAGATAGACAAGTTATCGGGATGCGATGAATTCGTATGTGTGTGTGTGTGTGTGTGCGATAGAAAAAGAAAAGAAGAGTTCATGGACTAGTCATCACTGGTGTGCCACTATTCAATAAATAAATTTTATTTACTTAATCGACCTAGACATTTCTACACTTGGCGTAGCAGTTGGAACAACACATTGACTTCCTTTTTCGCGATTGAACGTCTGAGAATTCGAAAGGAACCGATCATCATTTTCATAATTTATCATAATTTATTGTTGCTAACAGTCTAAATAATAGAAGATCCAAATTCAAAATTTTGTATTTCAATGAATATCTTTTCTATTACTCCCAAAATATATAATAACCCACTAATTGCCTACTTAACCCAAAATATATCGATTAATTGATTTATTTAAAAAAAAAATTGCAATTTCCTTTGGATTCTCAGTTGTCCGATCGAGTGAATGTGATACGCAGCGAATCGTCAACATAAACATATCTCTCCGAACTAACAGACAATTAAATGTTGTTATATACATGTTTTACTGAATATCATTGTTAATGCTTTTATTTTCTACATCCGTGAGACGAACCAGATCAAAACGATCCCATAATAGTCCCAAAACCCACGTTAACGAATGTCATCGAATTACTCGAAGAACATTCAATGATTCGCAGAAACATTGTTACTCTGCCAAGGAATCCATCCTCGTTTGCAAAGTTACATCCAGATCAAAGTGAACTGTTTCAGAGACAACGATACCATCGTGGACAGAATGACAAGCGGACACGACGCTTCATCAATCACGTTGATTCCTTGATACATATTCAGACTGACAACAATGACTTCGCTTGTGTCAACCATAATTTCGTTTACCATTAACGTTGCATCATTTATGCCCTAGTCATTTCCTATCTTGATTCGCCAAGCGGATCGACCCGATTAACGCTGGATATTAGGTTCACATTAGTTGGCAAATTTTCAAAGAATCTAGGGTAGAAATTCGAAGGGAGTATAATTTATCAAAGGTTTGAATTTGTCAATTTTGTTTCAGTGATCCAAATTCGGAGCTCTTGTACTCAGAAAATGAAAAATGAAGATTTTCAAAAATTGTAAAAAGTTTCAACTTTCAAACGATATGCCATTTAATTATTATACTTTCGAGCCAGTGGCATTTTTTCAAAATTAATTTCAATTTTCATTACACGAAAATAATATTTCGTCAATGAAGTCGACGAATTTATTCGGCTCGAAAGCTTTTCCATGTTTCTTCGCTTTTCGAACGAACGAGTCATCAAGTAGTTAAAGTAGCGATCGATCGATCGATCGATGAGATTTAACAGATAAAAAAGTAACTCTTACTAAAACCACGTTTTCGATAGTGCATACTTGAACAATTACCATAAAGGAACGCGTCGGGTTTGAATGGCCAGCTTCCGGTCGTACATTAGGCCGACAAAGTGGCGACGATCGCGGTAAAGGGGGAATAATTTTTGCTGAATAATGCAAGCGTGGAATTGGCCGGAAACCAGAAGCTTGAGCGAAGCGTTCCTACGCTTCTATTTACGACGTACCCTTACTTTGGCTACTGCCAGTAAATTGTCAGCAAAGTGGCTAGCTTCCATCGTTCCATATCGAAAATTGCATTCATTTAACCGCGTCGCGTCGCGTCAAAGGCAGCCCGTTAAAATCTGGGCCGTTCGTCGCGAACAGATGAAAAGAAAGAGAAAAAAAAGAAGAAATGGAAAACAGAGAATAAGAATGGCCTTTGGATATCGAAACTCAACCGGCTTTCAATCAGCGAGTACTCGTTAATTCTCACGATATTCCTACCCGCGATGGAATAGCTTTTCCTTTTGCTTTTCTTGTTTTATTGTTCAGAAAAGTCGCGTTCGTGGAAATACGAGCGAAGCGTTGAAATTATTTCCTCGGGCGAGAAACAGGGACAAAGAAGAGGTCGACGAATTGATCTTCCATCGCACGGATGTTTTACTGTTATTAATATAAAAATATAATTACCACTGGGATGGCAACGATTTCAACTTAATTTCAAGCTCTCTTCATTTTTAAAATTTTCATTTTTAATTTTACCAAACTGAACTAAATTTTCTTAAGGTGGATATTTCTCGAGAAGTAGTCAAATAATATTAACGAGTTTCTATAAATTCTTTTTTGTCCCTGGTATCCTTAAATTAGCTTCAAACCGTATCCTCTCTGACGAGCCGAAGAGGATCAAGTCATACAGCTAAATCGCTCGTTTCGCCTTGTAATTTACTAACGAACCACCTAAATGTTGAAACTAAAGTGGTACGAGGGATGTAACAGAGTAAACGACAGGAGGATCGAAACGCGTGCTTTGAAGTATCAAGGCATTAACGAAGCTTTCAATTTGCTGTTGCGAATACGAGCGAAACGGCTCAAAGGGAAATTATCAAATCCTTTTAAAAAGGCAACCGAATGATCTTCAGAAATAATCAACTTGTTTCTTAAATTCTTAAACAATTGAAACAAAATTGTTTCCTTCTTTAATCCATTAAGATTGTAACGTTGATGAATCGTTCTATGATGAATGGAGACGCAGCTTTGCTTTAATGATGTTCCGTTTTCTTTCTAAACGGTTAAAAAAAGGAAATAACAAGAATAAACGAGGAAATCATGAGAATCGAACGATCTTGGACGTCGGTTTTACACCTTCCACGCTTCTCAAACTTTACTGTTAGTCATTTCTTACAATTAGACCAAAAGCACCGTGATTTATCGTCCAACCACGGGTTTGCTCGTAAACGTGTCCGGATTCGCGACACAAACGTGTCGGGATTCAACTGGAGATATCCTTGATTCCCGTTCATTTTTCGCAGGATAAGTCAGGAGGACGTCGCGTTGCAAAGGAAAGACGGCCAGACTTCTATTTTCTCGTTTGCCAGACGCAAGAAAGACCTTCATGATCCTCCTTGAGGAAGCTCCTGAAAAACTTTTCTCCTCGACGCTCAATCAAAGTGGAAGTCATACACTCTGAATTATTGTCTACATATTTCCTAGTACAGCTAAACTTTGAATTGTTGAAAAATTTCATAGATTTGAGATATTTCTGAATTTTATCTAACACCAGTTTGTATACAGTTTTCGATGACTGACACCTGTTCGATCGTTGAATCGAAATTGATTCGTGTCTGGTAGAAAATTTATTTTAAATTTTGTAATTTCACGTTGATTGGCAAGCGCAAGTTCGTTCTGCTGGAACGCGAAATATATCCGAGACCAGACGGTTGACTGATGGAATTATTGATAAAAGTGACAGAGAATAGAACAAATGTTACCCTTGCCCTTCGCCATTAAAATAAGCTAAAAAAGTCTAATCGATAGATAATAAAAATTCCAATTTCCTATAATTTAGAATTTGAATTGAAATTAGTTCGTCTATTTTTAAATATTTATGCGTTTAAATTTATTTATTATCACACCACAGGGAAGCGTTTCAAAGCGTAAAGGGAAGTACTCGATTCGATTGGCAAACGGCTCGAAGTGATAATGAAACTCGAGCAATCGTTTCCAATTCGAAGTTATGTTTCACCTTGATCGTCGTTCCACTCCCGACCAACGGATAGGTTCTACTTAACCCGAGCTTATCTCTACCTCCCCAAGCGAAATGTAAAAAACATCCATGTTTCTTTCGGACCGCGCCTACCGTAGGTCAAGTAAATCGAGCGTAACGTATCGCCAGGGCTTTTTACGTCGCCCGTTATCTGGCTGGCATTTACCACCGAGGCTATCTTCCCATTCTTTTTTTTTTCCTTCTTTTTCGAGATGCCAGGAAGGAACGAACCCGTAAAGAATCCCCCCAATCGTACAAAATGAACGGGTCGTTTAGGGTAGCTCGTTCCATATCTCTGTTACATACTAGAGAAACTCGAAAGTCGGAGGCTCTTTCACAGATTTAATCTTTCGAGACTCGAGAGTGCTACAATTCTAACCAATGAATTTCTCTGTAATCGTGACTTTCCAAACGACTGAGGCGTTGCTTTATGAAGTGATACCAGAGGAGAAACGATGACACTATTGGTCAGTGATTTTTCTAATTTCAAAGACGTTGATTTTCCACTTCCTTGAACGTTGAAACTTCAGAAATTCTGTTATAGATTGATAGAAAATTTTCTGCCATTTCCTGTGTGACAATTTCCTCAGAATTTCTGACTCGTCGAAAATCTTTCTAATGTTAAACGTGTAAGTAGAAAAAGTTTCTAAAGTGACTGGAGAATATTCCATTACTGGACTCGCAGCATTCGAAATATCTGTGCGAAGTTCCAGTCACAGAGCCATCGACATTTCGTAGGGCTCGGAATTCTCCACCGGAAGTCGGTAACGAGACATCAACGTCACGAACACTCGGCACTCGGTGAAAAGTTTCTGTAGCAGGTAGCACGCTTCTTTTATATCATCCTCGTAAAATCTTCAGATATACGACTGGGTACTCGTATTTAAATTTTAATTAAATGTAATTAAATGGCCAGATGTGGCCACACCATGCCAGGATAATGGACACCGACCATCAGTCTTTTATTCGATTTTAATGTCCCTTCGAAATGATTGATCGTCCTCTTTTGTTACTGAAATCGCGTTTCCGATGCTTTCCTTCGAGTTGGGATTGCAGGAAAACTTATGCATTTGTTAAATAGTTGTTGGTTTCATTATTGTAATGAAATTTACTGAGTGTCTTGGGAGAGTATATCTACAGTCAGGTGCACAACTAACAAGCACAACATAAATCAATGTTCCTCTAAGCTACAGAATAGCTGCTGTCCTGGGGTTAATTACAAGACTGCTACATTGTACCGTGTTTACAGCCATATATTTACGGCGGCGCTCGCAGTTGTTATATTTATGAAATAAATATGAGAGGGAATTGTGTGTACCAACCCGAAACGTTTTATCCAATTATGGTAAAATAAATGTTGGAGAGCAGATCCTACAATCTAGTACTTTAGGAATTAATCCAACAATACAAAGATTACTCTTTGTACAAATGCTTAATGTACAAAAATAAGGGACTATCAATTTAACAATTAACAAACTGAAAGAATTGCATAAGACATATTTTTATGATTTTTAACTTTATCACTGCGCTCTTTAAAACATACCGCTAGCACCATCTGGTGGTGAATGATATTAAATTAAAGTAACAGAAAATACCTTTTTTTATGTAGGCAAAGATAATTCATTTATCTTATACTCTATACAAACGAAATTAACAATAAAGACATCATCATCTATGTATTAAATTTTATTAAAACAAATATACGGATTATATTTTATGGCTTAAATCATTAACAACTTACTTCTTGTAGGAAAATTGATGCGATTTGAATAATAGTGATCTGTACTTAGTAAGCCTTTTTTGATTTTAGAACTTGTAAACACTTTGTAAAATAATCAGCGGTTTCCTTTATGTACAAAATTGCCAAGTGTATTGATTTATTATAGAACAAGTCCTTGGTACGAAAGACCATCAGCTTCTGGAGACTCCATTCTATTTCTCAAATGTTCTAGCGTATTCGCTAAATGTTTCTGTATTTGTTCCGTTTCTTCGCTAACTTCTAAATTGGGGAGTTCTTCTCTAATTTTTGCAATTACTTGATTCAAAATTTGAACGGTTACCTAAGAACAATTGTTTTTAAATAAATAATATAGATTAACGAGACGACTGAAGATGTAAATAATTCTTACCGCTGTATTTCCTTTTTCATAGAAATAAATGTAGTGATTTAATAATTCAACATAAAGTTGTACTTGAACTGAAGTATCCATACACTGACTTGCTATTCTAATACCCTTTTTCAAACAATCTAACACTTTATTCCCGTCTTGCATCTGAAATAATTTATATTTCATTAATTTTGAATACTAATTGCGTAACATATAGGAAGTATCACTACTCACTTCTTTTCCTCCTGTTGCCAATGATTTTCCTGACCAAAATATATGAGAGCAAGTAGCAACGCCTCTGCATTGATCTGGTTTTCTTAATAACTTACTGGCATACAAAGCACATTGATTGCGAACTGGTTCTGCATTTTCTTCACTAAAGCAACTCATTTGCTCGAACGTAGCGATAATTAATGTAATAGCTGCTAACTGAGCCTTCGAATCACTTATTTCGTCTTCATAGATTGAAAACGCTTGACTCATAAATTCGTAAGCTACCATTTCAAAATTATCAAAACGAATTTCTCCTATTGCTATTGCACCTTGAAGAAATAGCCTTAATGGCAACTCGGCCAATTCAGCCTTCATTAAGGCTGTGATAGTCGCATGACAAAACTGAAAGATCTTTTGACATTTTTTCTGCCACATGTCATCCTAAAAAAAATAGTTAATTCAAATTTTGAAATATTTGTATCAGTATTAATAATAGATATATGTATCAATAATTTACTAACTTGATCCTTCAGACCCTTATATATAAAAGCTAGCTGATAAGCCTGAAACACAATTGGTGGTAAAGTGTACTTTATTCTCTTATTTCCACCTGCACTGAAGTGTTTCCTGGCAGCACTCAATATCATGTATTGTTGATCGGCTGTTTCAGACTTAAAATGATGTATCAGTCTACCAAGAAGTCCTTGTTCTTCTGCAAAGTCTTCTGGATCTTCTTCTATATTGGGTTGATCAGGTTGATCTTGCACTAAAGGAGCCACCATAGAGAGAACTGCATCTACTTGTTCTTGAGTCGGTATTAAAGTTTCATTTTCTAAAATATTTGTTATTATATAAATTGCTAACAACTTTCTGCCCTCAAAATCAAAGTAATCTAACAGTGGAGCAAAATGTTCAAGTTTCAAAACAGTCAATATGTTCTTGTAATTATCTATTGGAATTTTCATCAGTCTTACTAATTCCCTTGATACTGCACTGTTATATTCGAGTCTGAAAATTAATTTAATTTATTATACACTTGCCCATATATTAGTTTAAATATAGTACATACTTATCCACATTCTGTTTCTGGAATATTTGAACAGTTGTTAATAAGACTTTATCCACATAATCTACTCTGTCAGGATAACACTTGTGCGCTAAATTAATAAGAGCTACTTGGAGAGAAACTATATCTTCTGGAGGCATATCTTGCCTAGTCTGTAAACAACAGTTACTTTTTTAAATGAAAAATTAATAATAAAAATATTGATTGTGGATGTATTAGATCGTTCTCAGACTTAAACTAGATAAGTAAGGGTAATGATAACTGTAATCATATTACTATCAAATTTGTGCAGCATCTGAACATCATAGACGATATACATTAATTAATTTACAGCTCAATTTTTAGACAATTATACCAACCTGAATAATAGTTGCAATTTGATCACTAAAAACATCAAAAAGTTTTACATCCTGAGGAATTCCTGGTACTTGATTTGGACTCCCAGGTCCTCCTACACCATCTGATCTTTGACTAAATGCTGCAAGACGATCTATCAATGAAATAATTATATTTTTTACGTTTACACCGTTTTGAAGTTCCGCACAAGACTTCAGAAACGGGTTTAATGTTTGAAGATGAAACTCATCAGGAAAAACCTAAATGAAATATAACTAAATTATTTCTGATAATGTTGTTATAATACAATTTTAAGTATTTTTACAGTTGTTATTTACTTGAATTATGCATTCCATGAGATATTCTTGAGCAATTGCATCTCTACAGCTAACCACTTGTTCTAAAATTCCTGGTAAAACAAGCTAAAAATCATCTTCTTATTAACCATATCAGTTTTTTTGAATCTTAAAAAATAGAATGTATGTAAAATCCACCTTTTTGTACTTATCTAAAGTAACTGATTCCAATTGACTAAGTCGTACTAGATTAGTGCCTACTAGGATTCTAAGTTCTTCCCTTTCTCTCTCTCTTCTTTCTCGATCCCTACTATGACCCTGATGTTGCATGCGTACCCAAAGTTTATTCATTTCCGCGAAATTCATCAAGACAAAGTCTATACTATCCCGAACCTAAAGAAGAAATCCAAAATATAAATTTGTATGTTTGAAAATATGATTATCTTCATACGTACACTTCCATCTTCGTCGTCTCCTTCAGCAACATCTGGTAAAATATTACGTGTACACTGTAATAAGTAATTCCTTAAAAATAGACCTCTCAAGGGATGCTGAACACCTCTGCACATCTCTACTAAATCTCTTAATAGATCTCTTTTCAAACCAGGAGTTGTTTTGATATACACCAGTCCAACTGTGATAAGCAGATATCTACAATGTTGAATAATTTAATCAATGATTCATCATAAATAACACATTACATGAATACCATGATTTTAAATCAGGCTTACAGTCTAGGCACAATATTGCCAACATATTGCACTAATTCATATAAATCTGTAACTTTTCTTCCTTTCTGAAATTCATCTAACAAATAAAGCTCTAAATGTCTCAGTTCATCGGTAATAGACATATCTATGATTATGTATAAGGAAGATTATAAAATTACTACATATATATTTTACTATGAAAGCTAATTTATTTGAAGTTGAGAAGGATACATAATTCATAATAACTCTTCGGACTCAAAAGTGATGTTCTAAGTTCTCCCAACATTGTAGAAGCATGTTTCAATGCATCCATCAATTTAGATTTGTCCAAACAGTGTTTCATTTGGAAGGCTTGTACTTTGACCACGCCGATCGCATCTTCAAGTAATTTTTCCTGCTCTTCTACCCCCGTTATGACAGGTGTCATTGGCTGCGATAAAAACAAAGATACCTACCAGGAATACCAGGTAGTACCATGCTAGGTAAGCCATTCAATGCAAGCATGCACTATATTAAGCTTCAATGATGATAAAAGCATAAGAAAACTACGTTATCCTGTAACTAACAGTATTCATTATTCAAAGGGAAAAGTGCATAAAGTATGCAAAAGGCAAGTCGTTTATTAATGTTACATTCTTTTCTCATTATATTTCGATAAAGATTTTTAAAAAAGTATCATTTAAACTTCATTATTCCCTGAAATGTTGAACATAAACATCAGAATTTGAGAGACACTTAACCTGCTATTACATTCAGATAACTCAATCGATGATAGTCACCTATGTTTTTGTTTAAATTTAATTAGCATATAATCAACTGCTTCCATAAGCAAAGGTATAACATGCTTTTCGAAATTAGACGTATACTTACCATTTTCTTTCTTTTAAAAACTAATAAAAACTTGCTTCCAGCACTTGAAACACCACACCAACTTTTAGTGACATCAATCCTTCGACTTATACAATAGTCAAAGCACCAGTCAGTTAGAAGAGTATATACTGTGATAGTACTAAAGGGTATATTAGAACGGCTTAGCCAAGGGAGAATCTAAGGAAAGCCCAACCTAGAATCTCCTGCTTTCATACCTAAAATACATTAAAATTCGTTTGTTATATTCTGTTTTTCAAATATTATAATAAGTAGTGGGGGTTTCCTTCCCCTACAGCACCATTTTCCCTAAAGTCAATTTTTAATGTTGGCATTGGTTTTATTATGTTATTCTTGAAAAGATAATAATCAAAAGTTAATAATACATATACCGCAGTTCACCAGAGTCCATAACTGCGACGCGCAGGTTGGAAGATGGTGGGGGAACGCAGCGAGCTCTCTGCTAATCGCTTTCCACTTCGTTTGGGGTATCGCCAATCAGGGCGAAGATGCGTACTAGAGAAGCGCAAAGAACGAAAACTGGTCTTTTCGCAGTTATGGACTCTGATGAACTGCGGTATATGTACATATGTACATACATATACTTTTAAATCTCAATACCAATCATACTTCTTAGATACCCTATGCTCTATACAATGCTATTCATATGAAGATTTATTACATGATTCAATATTCGAATATGGACTGTATCAACAAAGTCAATTAATATTTTACGTTTGTTTTAGATAATTTATCTTAAACAAAAATGGAACGTTTTCAAATACAAGAAGCATTTACTGTATTAAAACCGCTTTGTGATAATTTAATGAAAAATCCAAACGTAAATACTGCGCAAGACGTTGTTAATAGTTTGACAAGAGTTTCGGATAAAGTTCTGCAAGATCTATTGGAATATATTTTGTTTCCTATAATTCTTCATTTACAAAATAAAACATTGAGGTGAAGCTATCTTACTTTATGGTATAAATATCAAAACGTATAAGTATGAATATAAATATGTTTCTAATTTTACAGCAAAGATGTGAAAGAAGAAGTTGTGAGAACGATGCAGGCAATACTCTCAAGGACAAAAATATCTAAATTGGAATATTTCAATAAATTGTATTCATGTCTTTTAATACAAATTTATGATCCAACACAACAAAACATGGGTAATCACAAATTTAAATGAATTTAAATTAAAAACAATTTTGTAAGAATACAATATAATGTCACATGTATGATTTTTATAGTAATTGTTGGTCATGAAGAACTTAAGGAAATAGTACTCTCATGCATCAAGACCTTAATGCATTCTTGCTTCACAGAAGTTATAGAGTCATTGTATGTTAGAGAGAATGCCTCAAAGATAGGGCAAGGAATATTGTTATCTGTGACAATAGGAAGGACTGAAAAATCACGTTCCCTTAGGTAAACATAAAGTATCCATAATATATTCGTGTATCTGTAATTGAACTTTTATAATTTTCAGATTAAGAGCTGTAGAAACAGTAATGACATTATGCAGAGTAAATGATGAAATAGATAAATCTGATATTATATTGCAAGAACAAGTAGCTGATGTTATTATGTTATTTTTGCCAGGTATTGTTAGTGGTTTACAGGAGATAGCTACAGAAAGTGAAATACAAGGGCATAAACTCACAATGGTAGTATTAAAGATACATTAAAATTATAATTTGAAATATTATCTAATTCTACTCAAATTTATAGTTGGCACTAAAAGCTTGGGGTAGAGTGATATCTTTGGTAATGAAAGATAAATTGGAGGAAGAGGAAGATATCCCATCATTAGGAACTTTAATTGAAGTAAATAATGAGAAACACATAATTTCAATAGAAAATTCGTCACATATAAAAAATCGTAGTGAACTAGAAAAACATCTTAAAAACGCGACAAGAAATAAAGAATGGTTTGATGCTACTGCAACTAAGCTTAATGTACTTGTGCAACAGTTAGATGTATTGAAAAGACATTCTCATCATAAAGTTAGAAAGGAATTAGTAGAAATTATTCATTTACTACTTACAACATGCTCTAGGTAATATTTTATTTTTATGTCATTCTATAAACAATTTTTAATATGGGATCGTTCAAATTTTTGGAATAGGAATATGCAACCAAACGTTATGTTATTACTAGAATATTTAATATCTCTATCTGAAGACGAATTTGCAGAAGTTCGCGAAGAAGCTGAAAAAGCACTCAAAACAATTAATATAAATTTTACGCAAAATAAGAGTATGAGACCATTGGTGGAATTGCTGGAGGAAAACTTCTATAATGTACTTACAAAATTGCCGAGGATTATCAGGAGGTTTGGTAAGATTTTTGTACTTTTAATTCATAATATAAATTTACACTCTATAATTTAGTAAAATTATTATGATTATGTTTAAAGCAAAATACGTTTTTATTTTGTAGATGATAATGATCAGTTATCCTGTTTGAATCAACTAGCTGGTTATTTGAAACTTCTTGGAGAACAAAGATTACCTCGGATTATGATGTCCACGCCACATATTCGAAGACTATTATTAGCTCTGGTCTATGTGTCTGAAATTGATTGCAGTAGCATTTCTCTTTTGCAAGATGTAAATATTAAGGATCTTGAAGATCCAGCATATTTATATGGATCACATTTGTGGAGACGATTTAAATTTATTGAAAATAACGCATGCGAGGAGAAACTTATAGCAATATGTAAATATCTCGGAAAATTCGGAGATCTTCGAATTTTAGTAGATACTATTTTTGATCTTATCATGAATGTTCCACGACATAGAAATGAATTAATCTTATTACTAAATTGGATAATAAATGGTATACCAAATTATATCTATAATTAGAATAACATATTTAGGTGTTTATTGTTAATTGCAAATTTAACATTCTAGTTCCACTTAAAGACTCGTCATTTTTGTCGATTTACAAAGAAATTGTGGAATTTTATATAAATTCAGAACTTTGGTATCCAGCAATTGAAAGTTCTGAGGATATTCCTCTACAAGTTGCTCAGACCAATGTAATACAAAGTTGCTTACTATTAGAAGGCCTAGGATTAATAGCTTTGAATATGAAACGTGATTATGACAGGTTTCTTCTGAAAACCTTATATTTGGTTATAGAAAAAGCAGGTAATTCTTATATACAACCAATTACAATATGGAATCATATGTGTGGAAATATTCATATGTACTTTTAGGTAGTGGACATAGTTTAATCAATTTTGTTGGAACTAAAACACTTGAACAGATTGCAGAATCTCAGGGATATAATATAGTGGGAGATCTTTTACGTGCAAATGTTGATTACTTTTCGTACCACGTTACCGTAAAGCTACGGAGAGTAGAACGTAATCCTGGTGTACTCGATGTTGTTAATATCGTTATAAAATATAGCACAATGGACGTGTTACCTTGTTTAAAAGAGATCGTAGAAGATGTGCTAGTCCAATTAAGTAGCAGTTTTCAACAAAAGAATGCTTATGCTTTCTTGAAAGTTTTTTATACATTTGTAATATGTATACGAAATCTAATAAATTCTAAGCCTATACCGGAAACGCAAGAACAAAATTTGAATGTCGAAAATAAAGCTTCAAAAATTATTCAGTCTTTGTTAGAATATCATGAAGCAAAAAAAGTGGATAATGAGATAGAAGAACTGCCAAGTGAAAGTAAATTAGAAGAAGAAACAGTGGAAGAACCAGAAAAAGGATATCAAGAAGACTTTGCAGAGAAAGAAGGTAAATATATAATATAATTAACATAAAAATCATACCAATTAAAATATGAATTGCAGAAGAAAAGGAAGAGATACCCTTTTATATAAAAATGATTGAAGATATAATGAAGCACTGTTTACATTTTTTACCATCTAAAGAAGTACAAAAATCATTAATTGCAATGTTAACATTACAAGAGGGCCTTCAAATTTTAGCAAGATGGGAGAATCAACTATTGCCTATGGTACATTTGCTTTGGCATCCGTTAGTAGATAGATTTCGTGATGAAAATGTATTAATAATCAATCGGGCATGGCAATTATTAAATGTTCTTGGACACGTTTCCAAAGATTTCATTCGAACTAGAACACTAAAGTAAGTTTTTATATACGAATTATAATTTACATTTTAATCTATTAATGAATGTTTCAATTTTTAGACAAATATTACCTGCGCTTTCAAAATTTTTGTACGATTCTGCCAAACAGAGTTATAATAAAAGTTCAGAAGATATTTATAAATTTACTCAAACTTACAAGTTACAAAAGGAATTGCTTTCTACATTAGGTAAAGTCACAAAAGACTTAAGACTTCGTGAACAGGAAACGTGGAATGTATTGAGCATCACAGAACCATACCTTAGTGAGCATCAACATCCTACGCTACAAGTAAATTTTATTACGAAAAATACTTTTACATATAATACTTTCATGTGTATTTAAATTGCTTTTTTTACAGTCATGTTGCCTGCAATTATATAAGGAAATTGCTGATCATAATGCAGATATTACTTTGATGAAATGTCTTAGCATTTTTCATTCCAAAATATCGAAAATTATACCTGATGCAACATTTGATATAAAAGATTTAATGGTAATTTTCAACATAAAATTTATAATTGTACTTAAACGATAAAATATTGATTTTCTTTAAACACCATTTTTTTCATTTTCAGAACATTGAGAAGTTTTCAACAAATGAGTATTATAAAGATGTACGAAATATTTTAACGTATATTCAAGATCAAACTTCTGATCTCTAAAAGGAAATAATGAATATTTGAATATACTTGTATGTACATATATGTAAATTTGTATTGTAATATATAGTACCGTACCGAGCAAAGTAGGTTTGCAAAGGGAAAATGACAATATAATGGGGAAAGCAAGAATTCTCAAAACCTATCATGCTCGGTGCTGTATGTACATGACTAGATGTTTAAGTATTCATTCTATTTTATTTATAAGTATACCATCTGAAATTTAAAATTAATAAAATTAGTAGTTTTTTAAATGTTATTTGTATACAATTTTTATTCCGTGATGATATTTCACATCTTATTGTTTACAAGTTTTATTTGTACAATTTATATCTATTTGAAACTTTACATTTATCTACAAAGCAAATAATTGTCTTGTAGGTACACAGATGTTTTTATATATTCTATTCACAGACAATATAATTTATTTAATTTTTATTTAATTATAAACATAAATAAATAAAATTATCTTTTTAGAATAAGTTTGATTGTTTGTAGTATGCATTTTCTAAATTTTCTAATTTTTAATTAAGAATGTAGAATATAATGGTTTGATAATAATAAATTAAATAATAGTGTTGTAAATTTGAGTGTTAAGGAACACTTATATAATCTCTGTAATTTTTTTTAATTAGCTTGTTAATAAATATAATTGTAAATGGTAACCTTGCAAAATATAATGGGATTACTAGCGAATACTTTGAAGTTTTTTTTTTTGTATCATATTTGGCTAGTACAATAATTCGAATTTTAGTATTGTAAATTGTAATAAATTAATTTACTTATTTAAAGTAAAATAACATTTGTACAATGGTTATGTACATTTTCTGCTTTCCAAGATACCTATACATATGTATACTTTTTTATTACATACTTATATGATATTTCAGCTGTTCATTCTTGCAACAAGGAACCATCAAATGTAAATATTTCTTAAACATTTAAAGTTTTCTTAATAGAGCACAATTGTTTTACGATGTCAAATCACTGTAACATTTAAATAATTAGTAACAAGGAATAGAACTTTATAAATAAATTGCTAAAATTTGTCAGGCATTTTAATTTCATTCAAAATAGGCGGAATGTTCCAGCATATAGTACATGCGAGAAGCTAGTGACATTACATGAGAAAATAAGTTGCAAATATGTAATAAAAATTTGTTCTATGAGGCACATTTTGAAGAAGAAATTAGTATTTTTCGTAAAATTATTGAAATACAGATGTAGAGCGTTAATTTTCTCAAAAACAAAGCCTCATATAAAAAGTATTTTAGTTTATATTTTAAATATATTTTCTCGTGCAGAATCAACACCTTCTCATATGTGCTACATACTGCGGAACACCCTGCGCAAAACCAATTTATAGTTATGTATTTTTAATGAAGAATAATTATATTTTGAGCATGTTTTCAGTTATTTTAATAATCTAATAATTAGCGATCATGGTCCACTTTTGTCATATGATTAGCACACTTTGAAACATTTAGAAATAATCTACCCCTATCGTGTGCGTTCTGTACTAACAAAAGAACAAATATGTAATATATTTCAAGATACTTTAGGTGAGATAATAAATTGTTAACATTTACTTTGCAGTAACATTGGCTTTTTATAAAACAGTATCTTTTTTACAAGTTATTAGCAAAATGGTTTTGCTTTTAGTGAACAGACACTTAAGAATTATACGCATTCATTCTCTAAAGAAACGAAACATCATTTCCATGCTTGCTTTTGCGCTTTCTGGGATGCTAGTTTTTTTGTGACATATGAAGAAATTACAAGCGCTACCAACACTATAACAATAAGATAATAATCAAAATCTTCTTTCAAAACATCGAATGTTTTAGACGGTGCCACACGTGTGTAGAACAAGTCTGTAAACATCGTAATAAATATCCCATTATTTACATAAACGTGTATACGCTATTTGTATGTTATTAATTTTCACAACGAATTATAAATATCTAATTATTTTCAGATACTTACCGAGACCGTGTACAAAAACTAAGCAAGTACTTTCCAGGCCACTAGGACTAGTATGAATACCTGATACCCTAAACACGCTTTGATTATAATTGATTATTGTGTCCATATGAATAGGTATTTCAGGCATGTATGGTATAACACCTTCCTCGCGTACTTCTGGATTAATAGGCCTCCGTGGATCAACCATCATCCATGGTAACTCCAATATTCCACCATTGGCTAGGGCCACTATTAAATGTTGGGATCAAGTAGTAATTATAATCAATAGAATCGTAATGACTATACAATATCTAATTTACGGACCTATAATATGTTTGCTTGTAATACCCTTTTCGGTAATCGTTTCTCGCATTGATTCTACCGCGGCGGGGAAAATAAAAGCTTGCCTTTCTACGATCGGCAATTTAGTTGTGGCCAAAGATGAAAACACTGCAATAATTCAAGAACATTAAATCAATAATGGTTAATATAAATATAAATAAGATATCAATGAAGAACAAATGTAATACCTGTGGTATTACTTTGTATTTTTCCTTCATAAAGTTCTAAACTAGCAACTTCTGTCCTACGACTTTTCTCGTTAAAGTAACTATACACTATCCAGTTTTCTGAATGCACAACATGGACTGGACCGCGAACTCTTTTATGCATAATTGAAAATATCATTGCTCCAGATACTACATCCAGTAAATAGAGATTAAGCGTATCTATAAATCAGAAATAATCGAAAAATTCATTATCATGTTCGCTGAAATTTAAATTTGAGCGTTATGTCATTTACTTACTTTTATGAGTGTATCCTACACCCTCTGTTACTATGGCAACTAAGTTAGGATTAATGTACTTATACAAAACTGATCTATCACTTAGAACTCTACCCTGGGAATGAACACGTTCTATTGGATCTTTTGATACAACGTGTGTTATTCTTTGGTTTTTCGGTGAAAGCAACAATTCCCACACTTTATGGACAATAAGTTCCTATAAAATGAAATTATAATCAGTCACATATATAAAATATTCAACTTAAACAAAGAACGTATTAAAAATTCTACCTGAGACGTGCTATACGAAAGTGAAAACCCAGATAATACCCCGGTTGTTGGATCAGTGGTAAATATATACGTATTTTTACCAACTGACGCAGCAATTGGGGTTGCACTTTCAGGATATACGTGAACCTTATGCCGCGTATCAAAAATCAATATACTTCGCAAGAAATCATCCGTTGTCGCGTGAAGTAACATGGATTGCTTTATTCTGTATCCTAATTTTATCAAACCATCCAAAGATTGGCCAGTAATTGGATTGAATACATATACAACCCCTTCTGATGTTTTCTGAAGTATTTAAAGAACAACATCGAAGTTAAAATTTAATTTAACGTATAAATAATATTATTACATACTTTGTCTTCTGCTAGTAGTGCACATTGTGGTGGGTGTGGGAAGTGCCTACTACCGCGTTGCACATACAAAGTCATTGCATTAGATCTTTTAGCAAAGCCTTGAATATTTGGTACCCTAAGATTCCAAATAATTTCACCTTTCCTAGTTTCAATACCATATAACTATGGATAAAATGAAATAAGAACAATTAATATATCTGTAACATTAACTAATTAATAAATATCATTATTACTGGGTTTCATACTTTTCCTGGTGATGTAACAACAACAATCATTTTATGTAATCCAAATTTATCTCGTACTAAATCAGTACGTTGATTGGATTGTTGTGGTGTGAAGTTTAATATCAATTGGAAAAATGCCTTTGCTTGTTTAAATTGAGAACTGACTCTCCTAAATATCATACTCAACACATCCCCTGGTTATAACAAAAATATAAAATATGTTACTTGTATAACATTATATCTACAAAATGGGTTTTGTACACTACACTTATAAAAAACGAACAAAAACAAAAAAGTATGTACTCAATTGTAAAACTGGAATAGTAACAAATAACAAACAATTAAAACATGTTAATTAAATATCATAAAATTAATTAGACTTGATCAGATAACACATACAACAGCTGTGTTATATTATTTTCAACTATTCATGCATGATGCTAAAATAATCATTATATTCATAAGTTAAATTTAAATATATCCTTTGCAATTTATATCAGATAAATCTATTTCAACTTACAAAACTTTTCAATACCATCATGCACATAATATATATTACAGCAATTTTCTTAAATAGCAAGGATAAAAATATTTACTAGTTTATATTTAATTCGTTTATATTTTCTTGTGCCTCTAAAGAAAATTAACGTGCGCATAAGACTAATAAACAGCAGGAAGATAAAGTAATTTTCAAACCAGCCCTTGCTGCTCCACTACTTACATGAACTGTCTACATCAATACCTGCCAGCAGCCATTCACAAAAGACATATAATTAATATAACTATCATTTGTTTTATTTACAAATAAATTACGCAAAATATGATTTAATTATCACTGTTATAATTAAATCATAATAATAAGCACCTTTGGTAATAGTATATAGAACGAAATATGTAATAGTATTTTGATTTTTATATTATTTCAATGCAAATATATTTTTTTTTAATTTGCATCAAATACTGTTTTACATTAAAATGAATTCCAATAAGTACGAGTTTCTGCTATACTTTATTAAGCAGAATAAAAATATATGTACGTATATATACTTACTCTCTTTTTGATCAAATTCTGTTTCAATTTCTTGATCCCTATCTGACATAGGTAATTCTATTATTTCCACAGCTACGATACTAGCAAGAGCTTCTTCTCTAGACCATACTAATTTATTATGTTGTAACAGCGAAACACTATGATCTTCTGAAGCTAACAAATGACGACAGGTTACGCCTTTTGCTTGTCGCGGACAAACTGAAGCCATAATAGTTGGCGATAATAAAGAATTATGTGCTAGACTAACAGATAAATTTGGCAAAGGTTTTGATGTTAATAGTTCTGTGGCACTAATTTCTGTTACCTGTAAACAGATCATTAAAAGTTATTAAAACTGATATTAAATACATTTTTATAGTTCAGTCAAAGCAAAACACTTACTCCATTTTTATATGTCGTTTCCAATAGCACCTTTTCATTATCGACTGAAACGATATAAAGCTTAGCATCTCCAGGTATATCTCTTTGAACGGGAACAGGTACTTCTCCAACCAGAAGAATTCGTTTCCTCTGATTATCATCTGCGCTAATTGAAACAACAGATTCTTCACCAAGTACTGATTCCAAATGGTATGGTCCTTGTGCA